GAGTCCCCCTCCTGCGTGTCCGACATGCCAGGACCAAAATAATGAAAAAGAAATGAGTCACTCATGACAGTTGCGGTTACCACAGTGGACCCCCCACTGTAACCTAGCAGCTTTATTTTTCAAACGCACTCGATGTCACTGCTGGGGGCGGTCATGCAGGCTGGATGTAAGCTCTTATCCAAGCCCCGAGCTGATGAATTCGGCTCTCCATGGCCGGAACGGGCCTATGCAGCTAAGTCAGCGCAAAGGCCAAAAATTCGGCTTGGTCGATCAGGCTGGTGGCCACCATGATGCCGGTGCTCGTCGGAGGCACTGGTCACACCAGGGACGCTCCCAGGCTAGGGCCTCATAGATGTCCGTGGACATGCACGGGTTCACCAGGCGCTTCGCCTTCCCGTCAGCCTGCTTGTGCTGGCACAAGGTGATGCCATCCTCGACCGTGACATGTGTGCTGGAACGCTCTGTGGCTGCATACCCCTGGGGTTCAGGATGCTGTGTCCCCACGGCTGTGTCCTGGAAGGTCTTATGCAGCCACTTTTTCATGCCTTGGTCCTTGATCACCTTGTGAAGCTCTGTGTCCCGGCGACTCTCCACGAAGTTGTTGGCCGCCTCAATGGACTCGCCTTCCAGCAAGGCTCGGCAGAGAATGCCTAGATAGGCCCCACGGTGTCTCCCTTTGATGCAGTGCACTAGGACATTGTCACCGTGCCAAACCGTGTTCTTCACAGCTGGCCACACATCTGTCCATTGCTCATTGCGCTCCTGGCTGTAGGCCGCCGCAAAGGTCATCAACTGAGCTCCCGGGAGGGTCACCCCCCCCGGCTCTCAGGACCATGCGGGAAGCAGCAAATCTGCAGTGCCGTCTTGGGGAACCTATCCATGGTCTGCTGCATTGGAAGTCCCGCCAAGTAGAGGCCACCTCCCTTCCGTGACTGCCAGATGCATGTTGGAGCCTGGGCTGTCCCTGAGCCAACACCCAACCTTTCGAGGTGCATGTCCAAAGTATCACCTGCCGCCTTCCCACGGCCTTTCTTGGGCATGGCCTTGATCTGTGGCTTTCCAGGGGCTGCCATACGCTTGGGGGTTGTGGCAGTCGCCATTGGCTTAGGGTAGTAGCCGTAGCCTTTGGAGGCGTCTTTGGGGCTGCAATCGCCGGCGCCTTAGGCGGTGTCCTCGGTGCAGCGCTGCCTCGGGCTCTCTTAACGGCTGAGCGCATAGCCTCTGCCACCTCATCATCGGTTGCTCCACTTGCCCCGGTCCTCTTTCTGCCGAACTGAGCCTTCGCTCCAACGGCTGCCGGCACCAAGGATGCCGAAGGCTTGGGGGCTGCCGGGACTGCGGTCTCAGCGAGCACTGCGCGCTTGATGCGGCACACACCAGCGCCGTGTTTGCCACCGCATGCCCGTCCCGATTTTTGTAAGACGGCACATAAGTGCACTCCGAAGGGACAGGAGTCTGCTTCGTTCGGGCACGAATCCGTCTGGTAGTCTGGGCAGATGGCCTTGCCGTTCTTCAGGGTGGCTGTCAACACTTTCCCCTGAAGGTGGTCCGGCATTTGGGGGGCCGGTGCCGCTTCTGCCTCCTGGCGGGCTTGTTGCGCGGCTTCGACAAATTGCTGTGACAGTTTGAGCCTCTTCTTCACATCCTGAAAGTTGTGGGAGGAGGCCCACATTGGTTGCCTGTCCTGCCTCAGCAACCGGTCTGCCTCTGCTAAGCCATGGACCCGGGCTGCGTCTAGCTCTGACTGCGGGATCGCCTCCCACAGCAGGTTGCTAGTCAGCTTCGCTGTCGCACCCCAGATCAGTGATTTCACCTTGATTGACGCGGCGTATTTGGCCGACGAATAGTGGAAGGCCATTGCACCCACTTCTGGCACCTCGCCCTTGGCTTGCCAGTCACCCAGGGCGGCCATTTCTTCAGGCTTGCATTCCAACAATTGGGCCACCGTGGGTGCCAACCTTCTCCAACTGTAGGTGGTCAGGTCTTCAGGATTGTCGAGGAACACGGACATTTCCTGTTGCATCGTTTCTTGAACTTCAAGGATCGTCCAAGGGCGTCCTTCGTCCGAAAAACAAAGACCTGCCAGCCTCTGCCTTGCCGGTGCCAGTGTCCTGTAGGCCTCCAACACCTCCTTGGCCCAAAAGAACCCATTGGCAAAGGTTGCCGGCACTGCAAAGTCGAATCCCTCACGAGCATGCCTTTGTTTGCCTTTGGGACACCTGCAATGGAGGAATGCAGCGGTGAGGCGTCGAGGTTCCGTTCGAGATATATGCGCATACCTCAAACAGCCAAACGCCATGATCCAAGGGGCCAGGAGGACTGACCACCTTTCATCGCCTACCGCATGCAGTTCCATGATGCGGTCCTCCAAGGCCTGCACCAAGGGTGGCTCGACCACCGGAGCTTGCCCACGCTGCCCAGTCGCCCTGGGTGTTGTGGGAACTTGCAAGTTGCCCAGCTCAAGATCCTGGTCGGCATTCTTATTCATCCACTTCAAAGCTTGGAGTGCCCGTGCTGGTGCCGCTGTGTGGTTCAGGAACTGGTCAAGGTCGACCATTCCGGGAGGAGCGGGTCGCCCCCGGCTCTCCAAGAAGGTCCTCAGCTCCAACCAAGTGTTGACCACTCTGTCAATGGTGGCCTTTTCAGCGTCCTTCACCTTCTTTTCGGCGATCCTCCTGCACGTCTGCTTCCATTCAGCTTTGAGGGTGTCGGTCAAAATGCCGGCTGGCTTGTACGCGCCCATGCCAACAAACATTGAAACCACGCCGTTCACCCTCTTCTGGACGGCTTCACTCAGGTTTTTGTCGACGTTGATGGCTCTGGGCTTCTTCTTGTAGATCGTCTTGCGCGCTGGGCGCAGAGTGACGTAACCCTTGGGGTGGTCCTCCACGACTTTGGCTCCAGCGGCAAGGAGGGTTTCTTCGACCCTTGCTCGCGTCTGCAACCAGTCATCGGCGACATGATGGCCAGCGAGTCCAACGACTTGATCGTAGTCTGTGTAGGCATAGGCAAAGTCATTGTCATCCAGAAGGCCTTCATTCTCCCTCCATTGGCGAGCCCTCTGAGCAGCAATCATCATTAAAGAGTCGGCCGCCCTCCATCCTGGTGCAGGGTCACCCCCTGACGAAGATGAGGCTGCCGCCTGAGCTGCATAGTAGCCTTTTCCGCCTGATGCCATGGCACTGCACCCTAACAGAATTGCTAAGGTGCGGAGAGCAAAAAGATGCTGCGGTGACTCCAGAGGTGCCTCCTCTGTCATAGCATCAACCTTCAGCGAACATCTTCTTACGGCCTCCACAAACTGTGCATGGCTGCCTCCATGTATAGCAGTCATTACACATGCCAACGCAGCAGGCCCAACACACGCGCCTGGTGGGGTCGCCGCACTCCGTGCATGCAGTCCCCAGATGCTGGACTCTGGCTTCTTGGCTTTCCAGCCATCCACAAAGAGCTCGATGAGCCCTGGCGCCCTCTCTCCCCCATGCCGGCCAGGGTCGCCCCCTGGGGGCCCTGGGGAAGTGACGCGGCTCGAGAAAGATCGGCAGGAGCTCGTGCGGGCCCACACATCGAAGCCAGACCCTCCATTGCTCGAAAAGCTCGCCCAGGCCCAGCTGCCCAGCGTCGCACGCTGAACATCTGAGCTGGAGTCCATAGAGCTCTTGGGGCACCACGTCCTCGGCCACTCTGAAGTTCGTGTATGCCGAAACCAGCAGGAGATCCATGGGTTCCTGGTGCTGGTAGTAGTACTCCCAAGCATCCGCAGGCGCCACATCATCAGGCAGCACAACTCCCCGGCTATTCCACAAGCCAAGCCACGGGAACTTGAACCCACCCACATGAGCTGCGCAACGTGGACATCCATCAAGGCAGCAGGGCATTTTCGGCAAGGGGGGAAACAACTCACAATCTGTCCCAGTAGTGAGAACGTAGGGGGAGTGCAACACCTCGATACCATGCATCCAGCATGTGTATGCTGCTGGGCCCGAATCCTCCCTTGCCAGCCTCTCCACGTGGTTCTTGAATTCCAAAAACGCAGCCGCATGCAGGATCTTCGCCTCAGTGGCTGCTGGAATATCAATGCCTGGGAGTTTGCGCTGCATACAAGGTCACCCCTTGTTTTGAGTTTGAACCAACCAATCAAGGTCAAGTAAGGTCGCCCCTTACAATGACCGAGAAAGAAAACAGAAATGAATGCTATTTTGGTTCAAGTTTACTTGAGCCAAAATGATAGCATTCATTGAACACTTGAAGATGATACATGCACACCCAAGCCTGCCAAACTCGATGCATGGGTATATATTATATTACGTTATGTTATGTTATATATTATGTTATATCATGTTATATTATAATATACTAAATTAGATTATGTTATATTAAATTATATGATTATAGGATTATATGGATGTTTCTGACATTCAGGATATCACTTCATACTGTTATACAATGATGGATTCGCACAAGCCAAATGCCAGAAAGTGCAGCACATGTCTCTAAGAAACATGGGCGCATGTGGCCACCTGTCAAAAATGGACCAATATCCATGTCTTTGGAGCCATGACCAGTGGACCAGGTTTTCGAAAGATTCGCAGTCGTGCCCCAGGCAAAAGTCTGGGCGGCAAGAACTGAAATGGTGAAATTTCAAACACAAATTAATCAAAGTTTGATCAGATTTAGGGTAGAACCTTTGATACATCCTCTTATTTGAGGGCCATATAGTGTTAATTTTATCCCAAGATTGAACTGTTTTTCTTAGCATCCCACGATTGTTGCACACACCAACCGACTCAATCGTCCTGCGGCAATCTAACATGGCTGCAAAAAAACGCTGAGTTGTAATGGATGATTTTCCGGTTTCCGATGAAAACTTGGCACTTCCCCATGTTAAAGACATGTTAAGACACTAAATTGGCCAGGCCAAAAGGGCAGTGGGGTGTTTCACATCACTGGTTGCTGGTTGCTGGAATGGTTTTGACCGCCGAAAAGGTGATGTTCATCGCCTGACGCATCAGGGACCGTCTCATCAAAGAGCCGCAAGGAGAGCGTGAAACGCTTCCGACTATTCTGCACCTGCCAGGGCGATGGTCTCCGAAAAGCCACACATTTCCTGAACATTTTTCTGTAGATACCCTCTGGTAAACTAAGAGTTTGCTATGGGAAATCACTATGTTTAATGGGTACATAAATCAACTATAAATGGCAATTTGAATACCAAAGGTTATGTTATTGTGTATGTTCTGTGTACGTATAAAATAAGGTACCTGCGGAAAAGAGTGTGTGTGTATATGTATGTACATATATAATGTAACGCAATGTAATGTAATTGTAAATGAACATTTAGTGCAACAGTATGGTATGGTACGGTACAGTATGGTATGTATATGATTGTATGTATGTATGTATATATATATATATACAATTATATAATATGTATGGGTACCTATACTCTGTGGATTTATATCATTGATCTGTACTGCCACACATACTACATCATCGTACGACTATGGCTATATCTGGACACCTATATAGTAGACCCCAAACGTATAGCATGCAAATTGATGAATCTAAGAAAAATGACAAATGTCAATAGTAGAACCATCAAAAGTTCTGAACTGCAATTGGAACTTCATATGTCACAGTTGATTACTATTCACCCCATTCATATCCACTATATCATTGGAACGTTTCATTATAACGTTACATCCCCTTCCATCAATCATCTCTCTTGTGACTCCTGAGGTCCATGGGCTCTCCTGTGTCATCAAACATGGATAGCTGGGAAAATGATGGCACTACCCTCTGGTTATTTAACATAGCCATGGAAAATGGCCCATTTATAGATGGTTTACCTATAAAAAATGGTGATTTTCCATGGCTATGTTAAATAACCAGATGGTAAATGTTTTTTTTCCAGCAATCCATGTGACTGATTACCAGAGGGCACCTTTGCAAAGCACCAAAGAACTCCAAAATCTGATGGGGAACATCTTTAGGCTTCGTGTACCGCATACTTCATTCCGAAAACATCAAGGGACTGGCACGTTGCCCCCCTTTGAGGTATACTTTGATGCGCATCTCAGTTTTGCAAGGGCTTTCTTCAGAACCTATCTGTATAATCATAACCAAACCTATCCCATTTAGTAGTGACTATTGGTGTATAGCTGGTACCTCATAAGTCACCTGTCACCTCCTATACAGCTCGCCTTGGCCAGGATTTCAGCCTCCACGGTGTGGTTCACCATGGACACGGTCAGCAGTTGCTTGACCAAGGCCTCCGTACGCTCCTGGTGGCGTTTGTTTGTCGCCTGCTTTTTTGGTCTGACAATGATGAAAAACACATCAATTAGTTTTTTTTTAAAAAAACTAGTGTTCTATATTGAAATTCTCAAATTTGGAAATATATATATATAATATTAACAAAACAACACAAAATGTATATATATATATCAGATATCAGATATATCTGTGGACACAGTGATTTTTTTGAGTCAGCCAGCGTTTTCAAGCCATGAATCCCGCCTTGTTCACATGTCCTTGACCTTTGTCTGTGGAGTATACTGCCAGGTTGGCGCCTGGTGCCTGGTGCTGATTTGAAGGTTGAAGGACCAACAGAAGCAAAAATGGTGGTTTCACAAGCAACGATGGTGAAATTCAGAAGCAACTTGGATTGGTTTGGGAAAAATGGCAGGAAATCATGGGTTTCCCTGCAAATAGCCTTGGGTTTCCGGTAGAGGTTTCACTTTATCATCTTTATCCAATTCTGGGAATGATATGTCCGATCCTTTCTCATCCTTTCTGGCTTACTCTTCGCCATTTTTGAATATGCCTGAATCATGTTGAATCCAAATCGCATCACCTAAGTATCTACGTGGATGATCTTGGATGTGCATCGCGTAATGATAGTTGGTTGAGGAACTGGAATAAACATGAATAAACGTGAATCATCCTCTATTTATCTCTTCTGGAATATTCAGTCTAATATTTCCTGATGTATAAGTATCCCGGAAGATTAATCTATTCAATGATATTCAATGTCTATCACTTCAAAGGACTTGCGTTCACCCCGGTCGCCCCAGAATTCCAAGTGGATGTTCCTAGAAACATCCCAGGCCAATACCCTCAAAGCGATTGGATTTATCAGCACAAATCGTGTCATTTGATATGGGTTGTCCTAAAATAAGAATTAACTCCCAATTTATGGCATTTTAAATGAACTATGATGATCAACCATTCTGATGTTTTATTGATTCTTTTTAAGGGTATCCCTTCCTATTGAGGTCTAAACATGTCAATTCTCCATTAAACAACACCGACGACTGCCGAATCTTTCGGCCTCCCATTTATGGGCAAATCTGGCTGCAACAGTCACTGCCTGCATTCATCCGGCCATCGAGAGACGGGAAGCAACATCCAAATCATCCCAGTACGGTTGATATCAACATGGGTAAAAAACATATGAAACCGCAAAAAAATTGCACATCAAACAAGATCGAACATGATTTAATATGATATTTTAATATGACTCCATGATAAAAAATGATGAAGCACTTCGTGAAAATCTCAAGCCATACTTTTTTTAGTTAGGGGTCATCTCATGACAGCATCAAACTGGTCAGGCTCATGGCAAGATTGTGCTTACTGAATGTACAAGTAAAACATGGGGGATACCATTTTCATGCCGAAAATGATCATAAACCATGGGATGATGGGGATGCCTACTTTTCGGAGAAACCCATCCCAATTTTTGTCATTCTTTGTGACTGAATTAAGCATCACTAGATCAGACATCCCATTCCAGACCGTGGTTTGTTCTTCATGGACGATGGGACAGCCCCAAAATGAGTAAGGGTGGATAACGGTGGATAGGCAAAAAAAGGAGAAACACAAACCCAAAAACTCGAACAGCGAGGATCGTTGCCCTACTCTTTCACTGTCCAAGGAAGCAGCCAAACAAGTCACTGAGCACGCGGCAGAAGCATTTTGAGCCTCGGCAAAACCACAGCGGCTACAGGCCACCCTGCACTGTCATGCACTGTCTGACTGCATCTGGAATCTTATTTGAAGCTGTTGGGTTTCTCGAATTCTTGAACAAACGCAACACATATAAAATATACATGTACTGTATATTATGCACATGTGTATATAATATATATATATATATGTTCCAGGTTCCGGGACCCCCCCATCCCCCCCCATGGTCATGGTTCCCCCTCCCCCCTGTGGATGTGGGAGTTGGGTGGGTGAATATATGTATATATGTATATATGTATATAGAATATACATATAGTATATATAATAAATAGTATATATAGTACATATAGTATCTATATATAGTATACATAGTATATATAGTATATATAGTATATATAGTATATATAGTATATATAGTATATATAGTATATATAGTATATATAGTATATATAGTATATATAGTATATATAGTATATATAGTATATATAGTATATATAGTATATATAGTATATATAGTATATATAGTATATATAGTATATATAGTATATATAGTATATATAGTATATATAGTATATATAGTATATATAGTATATATATAGTAGTATATATATATAGTATATATATAGTGTATATATATAGTATATATAGTATATAGTATGTATACTTACACTAGCGTAGCATGACGTAGACGTCACAATTACAAGAGAACTTACACTAGCGTAACATGGCATATGCCTGAGAAGTACATAACATGACATTAGAATGACCGTAACATCCACGTAGCATGCACGTCGCCTCCAATTCTACGCAAGTTACATGAACGTTTTTACACTCCACCCACCCCCCCACCCCACCCCTTCACGCAAGTTACATGAACGTTATTACACCCCACCCCACCCCACCCCTTCCCCCCTCGGGGAACCCCCGCCCCCAAGGGTGTATATATATATATATATGTATATATATATATGTGTATATGTATAAAGAAGTAATATAACTATACTCTTTAGTTCCTATATAAGTAGGTTTTGCATCCAAAATGCTGTAAATACCATGGAAATGAAAGATTCTGGGTCAGGGAGTAGGGGACCATACCATTGGGCGGGGGGGCTACGGGACCGGGGACCGGGATCATGTACATATATATGTATGTATGTATGTATGTATGTATATATGTATGTATGTATATATATATATATATATGCTAGCCCCCCAATAACCACCCTTGAGTGTTTTTTTTTTGCAGAAAACGTGATATACATATATATATATATACATGTACATCTAATATGTCTTAATTCAACGTATAAATCATACTCACACTGTAAGCGGTTGTTTGAAACATGATCCAGAAGGTTTTTTTAAGCTATGTCCGGCAATCATCATCAAACATCATCAAACCAGGTAATCAAACTGAAACACAACACTAAAAACAGGTCATATAACTTCAAACCATAATAGAACCAGGTTAATCTAATATAACTTCAACAACACCTTTCAGGTAACAACGTAACACGGATTTGGCTTAACTCAACTGAACCCGGCCGAAGAGTTCGCCACAGGGACCCATTGAAAGGCCATCAGTGTTGGCGCAGGATGGGCGTAGTTGGGATCCAGCCATCTCAGCAGTTCCTATTCCCGGTGACATCACCCTTTGGAATTCACTGGACATTAATGGACAATATATAAATGGAAAATCACTAATGGGTAAATCACCATTTTTAATGGGTAAATCACCATTTTCAATGGGTAAATCACAATTTTCAATGGGTAAATCAACTATAAATTGCAATTTTCAATAGCTAAAACAACTGGTTGGTGGTATACCTACCCCTCTGAAAAATATGAGTTCGTCAGTTGGGAGGATTATTCCCAACTGAATGGACAAATAAAAAATGTTCCAAACCACCAACGAGATGGAGTTTTAGTGGGATAATATAATGAATATAATGCGAGATGTATAATGAATTATAATGATGCATATTATTTTGTAATGAGACTTTTGAAATGGATGGATGAATTCTTTGTGTGTGTGCATATATATATATATATGAATATATGTATATGGCCAATTGGAATGAATTCACTGACTTGAAACTAGCTTAAATAAGGACACTTGGGGATGATCCCCTTACGAAGCATCAGTGGATATGAAATATGAATGGATCAGTGAATAACAAAGTGTCTGGTGATATAATGAATAGTTTGGGGATTACGATTTGGGGTTTAGGCTTTAGGAACCAGGAATTCTTTGGTGATACTATGAATTGCGGAATAGTGATACGCAACATGATGAATTACACCATGTTATAATGCTGAATGGTTTGGTGGTGAGTTGGTGATTATAACTACATGATTAAAAAAACAATCAGTGAATACCCTCTGGTGAACTAACATAGCTATTGAAAATGGCCATTTATAGTGGATTTTCCCATTAAACATGGTGATTTTCCATTGCTATGTTAGTTCACCAGAGGGTAACATTAATTGTAATCAATCACTAATGGAACACATAGACTAATATGACTATATCATACTATATCTCTATTTTTGACCGTTTGACATATTCACTTGGGATACACACAATCAGTGAAAAGGTTGGTACAATCCCAACCAAAAAGGCAATATAATCAATGTTGATGGAGACTTGTGTTACAAGAGGGATGTACCCTTGGTTATCAAGGGTCCTCCAGTTGCATCAGTCATCTACTGGCAACCGGCAACTAGAAGTTGAAAAATGTTTAACAACCATCTGCAACTATGTGCACATATGCAACTGCAAATGCAAACCATGCATGGTCTTGAGCACAACAGGCGACAACATCTACAAGTTAGCAACCACACATGTGTTCAGAACTCACTCCTTGGTTTTCATTGTCTAGGCAGTCTATGCATTGAAATATAGCATAGAACATTTGTGTAGAGCCATACGCTGTACACATTCGTCTAGGCCAAGATTGGGTAACCCAAAAACTTGGATGCATGTTAAACATCAAATAGCAACAACAATGACTGAACAAGTCCGGTAATTACCCAGGATTGTTTCAAATGTGATGAGAATAGCTATAATAATGATGACAACCATGATAGTCATGATAACATGAATATGTACAATAGATAAGAATATTGAACATAACACTAATATCCCGTTGATAGAAATTATGTATATATATATATGTACATGATTAATGATTATTAATACTTGTGAAAAAGTCTTAATATGTCTAAATATCCCATCAATAATATTGGTTATACTATTTCTTACGAGTATCCGAGTATCGTCACTATTGTTTAGTGATCACACAGATTGCTTTTATTATTCTTGATGAACATAGTATGTAGTTCTGTATTTATCACTGAACACCATCAAGATACTAAACTATTGGTATGGTTAACATAGTATGGTGACTTGCGTAAATCATAGTTTGCTATTAGTATGGTTACTGCAACTATTACGATCGTTGTGGTGGTTAATATTGATTAATCCCATTGACATTCAATGCCGCTGACAATAGTAAACACCATTAATGGAATCAAACTCACCAGAATTATACTAATGGTTCTTATAGAAGTTCTTATGTTCATCAATACATACAAAGCTACTAATAGTAAATAGCCATTGATACTAATTGATACCCACATATATCATATGTATTCATATTATGTGATATATTGTGATATGATATCATCATTCAAGCATTCATCAAGAATTACTGGTTGGTGGTTTCAACCCACCCCTCTGAAAAAAATGAGTTCGTCAGTTGGGATGATTATTCATGTTCCAATATGATGGGAAAGTCATAAAATTCCATGGTTCCAGTCACCACCAACCAGATATAGTGTTATTCCAATGATTAACCATTATTAACCATTATTAACCATTATTAACCATAGATTAACCATAGATTAACCAGGAAAATTCCCATGGTGTCTCCTCTGCTTGTTGCTTCACCTCCGCCACCTGAGGGGTTTTGACCCGCGCCAATCTGGGGTGTCACTCTTGCGACTTGAGGGCATCAGACGAGTAGCCACTGATACCCATCAATTTAAGGGAAATAGCCATATGAATGGGGATGGAATATATTTAATGGGATATAATGGGATGTTGCTACTATCAAAAATAAAGAAATAGTGGGCATACTACCCAGCAATCAAATGGTTCAATTGAGCATAGAGGCAACAATTATATAGTAATTTCAATGGAGATACCACCAAAAATAATGGAGGGAATATCTACACAAGGCAGCTATGGCCAGCATGAAACCAGCGATGCACAGTAGCTATACAGGACCTACCTCGCCCAGCCCAGCTCGTCCAAGCAATTGAGCAAGCTGGGGCTGATCAGGCGTTTCAAGGTCACCAAGCTTCAAACATGGTGAGTGATTCGGATTGGTCATCACAGACTCTAAGTGGATGGTTCTAGTTGACACGTATTAATCATATAATGATATATATATATATTATGTAATCATATTATATGTAATCATATTATATGTCATCATATTTGTGCGTGCAAACGAATCATGGAGTGATTAAATTGCTGTCCAACAAATATATTTTGTGGTAATGGATAGTTGTGGATGGTTACTAAAGTATCCTAATTTTACATCATTTTGCCTAATTCTCTACCCGCCAATCCTGTGTATTCACTTCTGTTGGTGCGGATCTATATTGCACCTCTGGAATCCTCTTGGTCTTAAATTCCACCATGCCATATTTCAGCGTCATGGTGAAGCGGAACACTTCTTCCAGACGTATCGATTTGTCAATGGCGATGATGTCGCAATAACATTCTGAGGATCGTGTACCCTCCGGTAATCAAACGGCTATGGAAAATCCCCTACAAAAAGGAGGTATTAATGGGACAATCACCGGTAAACTTATGGAAGATCCACCGGGGTGAGAGTAGATGGCCCTGCCAACTACGAAAGTACGCGGATGGCGCCGACTTTTAGAATTTTGACACCTCAAAAGGGCGTGACATCTCATTGCCCCGTTTCATAGTTGGTTGCACCATCTATGCCAAGAATCTCGCAAACCTGAAATCGAGATGTTTGATGTTTATTTTAAATGTTGCTCCCACTGGCTACCATGCAAAATCTTTGAAATATCTCCAAGCTGGGGATTGCGCCATCGCACCATCTATTCCTGCATTTTTTTAGGTTTTGGTTGGGTTTGAAGCTCTTGCCACCTATTCCCGCGGTATTTTGGGGGATTTCTTGAGGATCCCGCCTTTTCAGCTGTATTTTGAGGTGACTTGCAGCCACTTTTGGGGGGTTGCGCCATCTATTCCTGCCTTTTTGGGGTTTGGTTGGGTTTGCATGTTCTCCACAGTGTTTTGGTAGATTTCTTGGGGATCCCGCCTTTTCAATCAGCTGTGTTTTGAGGTGACTTACAGCCAATTTTGGGGGTTGCGCCATCTATGCCTGTACTTTTAGTTTTCACTTGGTTTGCATGGGGAATGGAACATCTATTCCCACAGTGTTTTGATGGTTTATTGTAGATGCTTCCATTTCTGCACAGCCCCTTTTGGGGGTTGCGCCATGTATTCCCAGGTTTTGGGGATTGGTTGGGTTTACAGGTGTTCACACGGGAATGGAGCATCTATTCCCGTGGTGTTTTGGTGTAGATCCTCCCCTTTCTGTATTGTCCTTCATCTATACCCAACCCTCTTTAAAGCGCCGCTTACCGTCCGCTTACACATCTATTCTGACATATTCGACCCTGGAGTTCATGGCATGCGGGGGACCCGCACTCAAGAATTAGTGCGATCTATTGTGGCAGTAGGGTTATTCCCTTTTGGTCTATTATTTGCAAGATTTTTCAAGAGCAACTGGATGGCATTGTCCCAGGTGGTTGCGCCATTTATTATACATGAGTTGTTGTTTTCCCTTCAAATTTTGACTTCAACCGGCCGAACCCTTTTCATCAAAGTTTTTATGACCCAAAAATCCTTTCCCGAACGAAGGATTTTAAATGAGGTAGACGGCACAATTTTGCGCATTTTGCACATGTAGGGTTGCGCCATCTTCAGGCACATTGGGTGTTTCAGGTATATTTGGGAAATATGTTTTTCACTGTGAAATAGATGGCGCAACCACCTCTGAAAAAGTTGTCCGGAGCCAAGCACTTTCAATCTGGAGTATTCCATTGCCACATTGCCATGTAACACGACCAAGCGAGTGGATCCATGCAAGAGGATCCAAGGAAAGCTTGGAACACATCAAGATTCAACCCATGTTTTGTACTGTACTCATCATATTCACTTATATTCTCTTAGTTTTCCACCCAGAACAACCATTATATAGTTGTTTTGAACTCCTTCAGGTCCTTCCAATTTACCCCGACATTTCCTGCTGAAAGCTGCACTGGGCTTCCCTAACAGAGCGCCGCACTGGAGCAGTCAGATCAATCCTCTCTGAGGTCTTTCAGGTCAATCATAGTTAAACAAATGCAATCAATTTTGGAGATTTTGAAGATTACCTGAAGATTATGAAGGTTACCATCTGGTTATTTAACATAGCCGTGGAAAATCACCTTTTTTTATAGGTAAACCATCTATTTCTATGGGCAATCTATACCATGGCTATATTAGTCATAACCAGAGGGTATATCATCTGATGGTCGGGATGGATCAAAGATCCCCCTTGCAATTCGGCCTCCGACCCTGACCCCTGAATCTTTAAGGGACCACTGGTAGCCTCTTAAAGAATGCGAACCAGGGCAAATTTCAGCCTTAAAGAATCTAACCCCAATGAACCAAGATTGCAACACAGTAGCCAGGTATGTCCCGTTAAAAAATTGGAGACCGTCAATAACACACCAAGGGGTGCCCCTTTAAAGAATTGGATACCCAAGTTGGAGTCAAGCATGAAATGTTCTGAATATTTTTAAGATTTTATGGATACATATCATGTACATTCATGTACATGTTAAAGAGATATGTGGATGTGGATGATATGATATATGAATATATATATATATATATGGTGCAGTTCCTAGAATCTTCCAAGGAAGGCCTCTTAAAGAATAGGAGACCGTCAAACAACAGGATTTCCTTAAAAAATAGAACTGTTTTTTTTTTGCCGGCCAGGTATGTCCCTTAAAAAATACAGTTTTTTAAGGACATCATGTCCTGAACTTTTTAAGGAAAATTCCCAGGAGGATGATCAAAGCATCTTTTACCTAAAATTTGGAGGGATGAACATCCATAGTTACCAGCTATCTTCTTGGTCAAATGACTGCAGGGTACCAATGTTTTGAGCATACCCAGGTTTGATGCAAACCATAGTCCCATCACATGATTTTTAGAAAGACACCTGGGGACTTGTTCAACTGTAGTGTCTAGCACACCAACATGAGTAGTGTTCTTTATTATCTTTGCATATAAATATACATATAAATTATGCATTATATATAATCTCCAACTCATCAAACAAACAATTATGAACCCATGCCAGTTGCAAATGCACATGTTTGAATCATCCGTCCTTGGTATGGCACCCTGCAACTCCAGACCAGCCATGCGTGTCCAAGACAGCAACCCCCCAACCCTTCCTAAAATCCACCATAACAAACTATGTGAACCATCAAATGGTGTAAGATTCCTAAAATCCACCAAATGTTCAATGGATGAGTTATGATCAGTTGAAAATGTAGGCGAATCTATGTCATTATGATAATGGAGTCATTATGTGTGTTCTTTTATTTTTATTTTTAGTACGAAGGGTTCCCATCAACCTTCCCCTCTTCCCCTCTCCTTTCTTTTCGGCCCTGAAGCACCGCTGCACGCGAGGCGTTCCACCAACCATGAACTCAGGGGAGGGCAGTGCGAGGATCCTCCGGTCAAGATTAAACAAGGGATTTAATTACCAGGAAAAATGTGGATTTAACTAGGGAAAATGGGGATTGACCATCAAATATGATGATTTTACTAAGAAAAATGCGGATATATATATATGGTAATTATATTATATTGGGATATACAACCAACAATATGTGTTTCTTTCCCGGGCCAAAAATGCTATGTATATTACCACCAGTACATGTCTAAATTTAAGTCTAATCATATCTAATCATCATTTATTACCTATGAAATGTGCTTTTTTGAGGGTCCCTCCTTTTAAATCCGTGGATCCATCGACAGCCATGGCACAGATCATTTTCTCCACCTCCGCGAACAGATCGCCTTCGGAAGCCAGTTGAAGCTCCTCCTGGGTGTCCGAAGGTTCGTTCGGTGCGGTAACAATGGCACTTTTCAAAAGGACACGTGGCACCTGAAATGACGGAATACACATATTATTGAAAAGAAAAAATACGCAATAAACATAAAGATATATATATAATTTATATATATTACATAAGCATAACAAATCATAACAACATATGGCAACCTTTGAGTTTGCATGGGATTTTGCCCAGAAAAAAGTATGACTCAGCAGCCGCTATTGAAAAAAACTCCGAGGCACGTCCAAGGGTTGCAGGATGGCGGCTTCGGCTTCGGATTCGCTGCTGCAACCAGCGAGGGCTGCAACCACCTGGGGACGAGGTTTTCATGCACGAAACCACAGGGTTTTTACCAATCAATATGGGGTATACCCATCCAAAATCGAGATGTCACTGGGAACAATGGGGATATAGTGGGAGATTTTAACAAACTTGATATTTGAGCGTGTCTGACAATTGGGGATGAATCCCAAAACATGGCCATTGAATGGACAAATGGACAGTGGAATGTGATGAGTCTGGCACACATGTGCCGTTCCTGTGGTGACGTCCCAACTGAAGGAAAGAAATGCACGAAACCTGAACTGGAGGGTCTTCCCGTAGATACAGTAATTGTTTGCCAACAAGCACGGTGGAAACCGCTCTAACAACGCCACAAATAAGTGACACGCCAAACTGACCCCCACCCCGCACCTGCCACTGCCATCGTTGAGCCCTGCTAGGCGCACTGACTTTGGTCGGCGGAGGTTCCTGCATGTAGCGGAGCAACAGAACTGCTGGACACATGGGGATTTCGCATGTTTTTTCAAGCTTGTATACAGTATACACCTTTCTTTTCTTTGAACTCCAGCTATGGCCATTGATTGAAACAACAGTCCTTTCAGGATTCGCAATCTTGGTATCTGGCAGATGGATGTTCATCACTATGCTCAATGGAGACACGGTGTTGTGGCCCATTTCCAACCAGCTGTTAACGATTCACTGGATCAGCAATTGCAACCATTTGGAGATCCTGAAATGACCATTGTCATCATAAGTTTCGACCCGGCCCCCTATCTTAAACATTTATGACTATTTGGAGGTTTCTGAAAATGGGGGCCCCTAGTTATCATCCATTTCAAAAAAGGAGTTTCCATCAAAAAAACCGTCCAGCTATTGGGGATCCCGCATTTCCATTTTCCTCTTCCAACCCTGGGCCAACTGTGGTCGTGTCCTGTACTTGTTTGGTGCCCTTGCCCTTCTTGGGCTGAGCCTCAGCGCGTAGGAAGTCAGGCACTTGCGCAGGGGAGCATTGATTCCTGCAAGGTGGTGCCCCAGTTCATTAGCTAAGTTGGTTTATAACAATTTATAACCAAGATAATGGTCGAATTTATCCTAGATATAATTACTATGATCTACTTATATATACTGATAAAATCCTGATAGATAATCTGATATACGGTATCTTGATGGTATCCTGGTTAATAGGGGTTGTAAAGCAACAAACATAACTGGTGAGTTCGCTCCAAGTTCCAGACAGACTCTGGGACATCAGCCGATTCACTCGCTAGCACAACGATCACAGCGAGGAAGGACAGTTTGCAGCCCATCAGACTGGTGATGGGTGGCAACAGCGACCAAATGTAGGTCTACGACCAACATGTGGATGGCACCATTTTATGGGACATGTATAACATGTATTCTGAAAGTTTGGGATAGAATTAACAGAACCAAACACAGTAGAACATGAGGGAAAATACATTGATCATTCATGTATGGATGTTCCATGTCGTTTTGATTGGCTTTGACTCATGGAGAAATGATTCACCTTCCTGAGAAGAAATCCTCGGCCGCTCGTGTCTTCCATATTCCATTGAGATGAACTTGCATGATTTCACACGTTGTTTGGGGTTCCCCAAAAAAAATCAGAGAAACTATTTGCTACTGCTTCGATGATTAATTTATCGGAATTTACCCTCTGGTAATTTAACATAGCTATGGAAAATCACCATTTTTAATGGGAAAACTCACTAATTATAAATGGGCATTTTCAATAGTTATGTTGAATTACCAGAGGGTATACCCACTGACGAATGGTCACCTGAAAAATGGGCTTACCAGAGAAGCTCGAGCCCTTCGCCGTTTTTAGCGAACATCCTCCGATTTTATCCGACGACTTGATGCGCCTTGCCGATGTACAAAGTGTAACGTCAAGGATTCTTTTTTGGATTCTCGGTACTCAAAAAACATTCAAAAACCAGTTGTGATATCCACACCAGCTTCAACCGGGGCCAACTAAGTCCTAGGGGGAATACGATGACCTCGACCAAGCCGGTGATTTTCGTGATCGGGGCACTTCAACACTCGCCAGCGGGTACATCATGGCATATTAGCTGGTTAAGACCAAAACAACAATCGCTGGGAACCGATGCTCTGTATTTGGGTAGTCCTTGACCCATGACATATATATATATATATATATATTATATTATATATATATTATATACAGTATATATATATATCATATCAGGTCCATGATATCTCAATCTTTGGTGGTTCCCTTGTGGGCGTATCTTTTTAAAGCGTTGTCCAGCGCACGGCGGGCAGCTCAACGACGGGGAAATCACCTGGACACGTTTTGTAAAACGGCAGAGTGTCCGCGGCAGAACGATGTGTTGGGAGGACCCGAAATCTCTCAGTTTTGGGGAAAAAAAGAGGGACAATGAATCTATCTATATATATAATATTTAATTATATAATTTTATATATATATATCATGATTATCATGATTATCATGATATATCATGATACAGGTTTTGGGTGGTTTTGGGCTACTAGTAGCTACACTTTTTCAAAATTTTTAAGATGTTCCTGGTCATTCCTATGGGAAATGCGGGGAATGGGTCCACCAAACCAAACCATTCTTGAAGAAAACAATGCCAACCGTGGCCAACCTGAGGTACCCTGAAAAACAATGAATTTCAAGCTTGTGACTACATATCATTACATGTCCTCATTTATCAACTATAATTCAATTATCCATTCATATTTAATCTTTGAAATCCAGAAAATACATTTCTGGCGCAAAATTGTTTCTGACAATTTGGTTGTTGGGCCTTGCTGAGTAAAACTACGGGTCTAGGGGTAGACCCGATTTGATCCATGTGCAGAGTAGCGCAGGTACATGCGTTGTGGACAACATGGGTCTGGTTCAAACTAGCTCCATATACCCTATTTTGGCTGGATGAATTACCAATTCGTTGAAGCTTGCCTTTGGACCATGAAAAATGACCCAGAGCCATATGGACATTTTAAATGCAGCATGCAATGGGCCCACAAATCTGGTCATTTCAAATGTATTCAACCATATTGTTTGAGAACGACATTTAATTCTGAGCCCAACCTCAGTGATAAACCACTTCTGTAAGACACTGATATTCCTCCTTTGGATTGAACAAACATGTGGCCTTGGTTTTACAATTTGATAGGATTGGTTGGTTCTAATAATGTTCCAATACCATTTTTTGCGAGGTGTTTCACTGCTTTTTTGCATCGTTAAACGCACCATTTGTATACATGTGTTGCTTTTATCTACACTTTGATCCGCACTTTGAACAGATTTCAGGTCAACAACCCCTGCGCTCTGCCTGTGTTTAAAGGCCCCCATCTTGCAGAAAGCGTTGCCGGTACTTCCTGTCATGCGCTGGGAATTCAGCGTTTACAGTCTAGTCATGTTGAGGTGGGAAATGATCAGAAGAGGAAATACCATACCAACTATACATAGAAACCAATAAATAGATGCCGAAAAGTTAGAAACTTGAAATTTATTGGGAAAATACCTATCACTATATACTATAACATCCAGGAAACATGTTTCTATCTTTTTGGGGGTAGCTATACACAAGTATGTTGGTGGTTCTAAATATCCGTTGTAATCATCTTACGCACTGTATTCTAAGATACCCAGGAATGGTGACCGAGTGGATATGATATGATTCTACAAACCATATTGGTCATATTGGTCATATGGGCCTTCCTGGACATGGGATATCAATCCAAGCTTTTACACATGGCACGTATACTGTATGCCCCTAAAAACGGAAGACTGCCTGACATCTGAAATGTTGCCTATTCAGCAGCTGCCGGTACTTTGGATGCGGGTGTTTCAGTCCCATGAAGAAGACCTGTAACCCTCGTAACGTAGGCGTTCCATCCTATGCCACAATAGATATTTCTATGAACCCGGTGGCTAACGAAGGTTCCCGTCATTGTCATCTTGGCAGCTGGCAGCTTTTGGCAGTTTTGCTTCTGTTTTTCCAAAGTCTTTCCCCACCATCCCCAGCCGAAAAATCGTCGATGGATGCAGTTGCAAACTTCCCTCTGAAGGTCCACAATATCCATGAGGGTCATTGTTCCCCTGCCATGATTCTCCTCATCAACATCGTCATCATCATCATCATCATCATCATCAATCATCATCATCATCATCAAACACCAGCATCACCATTTGGCCCAAGATTCAGTTCACAAGTGCACAAACATCATTGTTTGCAGCAGCCCAGAGCCGTGCCTATGCAACTGGGTTGCGTAGCACAGTAAGATGCAGCCCAAGAGAAGCGTTGCCTGAAGTGCTGGCTTGACACCTTCAAATGTCATGTAATAATGATAATGATCGAAGGAGGAGGGTAAGATCATTATAATATATTATAATTGTATCAAGCAGCTTATATGTTTGAAGAGTGTAAAAGTGATATATAATTACTTTATTGCCAACATTAAATGGAGTGTAGGGGCAGTAATATACAAAACCGCAATTTCATTGACTACCAGATTTTGCTGCGAAATGAAACTAGTTATGCACTTCTCACCCTGCGTGCTGAACATGGATAAACCTCCCCATCTTGCGTGGCAGACAAAAAGAATAAAGAAGGAAAGGAGGGTACCGAGACCAAAGTGGGAGATGATCTATAACTGAAGAGGCGGATACGATGGTATACGGCAACCATTCATGTTTTCTCTGACCCGTTTGGTGGATTTCGGGCGATTTAGGGCATGCTCGGATTTCATGTTTTTTGCTGGGTGGCATCCCAAGTAAGTAAAGCTGTCCTCAATGCATTGTACAGTACCATCTGGGTTATAGACACCAAAACACTGTCTGGCAGTCATTCTAAGGAACGATACGACATCGAAACACAGACAAACAAATGAAAGACACTATCGTACCTTTGATACACTAGCAATGCTTGGAATAGAAATATTTTTTGCACGTAGATGTTCCGATGGTCAATTGCCAAAACTTGTCAATCTTACAGCAAGTTTTCATGCCCAGTGGCTGATTAGATTCAGCAAACGGCTCTGTCCCCATATAGCTGAGTTCCCAAGCAGTTGCAAAGAACAATGCACGGATAGGGTATTTCTTCTTCACAGTCTGGCAGCCGGGGCAAAGCCAAAATGGCTGGGCTCCAAACAATGGGACCACGGCAGGGCTCACATCCCCGGATGTTGCTACATCACCAAATACCAATTCTTGCCTTTTGTTGGAATTCCTCTTAAATTCACAAGAAACCACCAATGCTTTTCCATAGGTTTCCAACTGTTTTCCATAGGTTTTCCATAAGTTTTCCAACTGTGTTCAATAGGTGTTCCATAGTTTTTCCATGGGATTTCTGTAGGTTTTCCATAGTGTTCCATCGGTTTTCCAATGGTTTTCCATAGGTTTTCCATAGGTAAATCACCCATTCCCGCCATTGGCCATCGCCTGTCCCATGCCCTTCACCACACTCCTCACGTCCTTGCCATCGCACGTCTCCTGGGCTCTGAGATGAAAATTAGGAGGGTATCAAAAGAGGTTCTAACAAAATTACCATAAATGATTTGTCAATGATATGGGGATGGTCAAAACCCTATCCCCCTGGTGAACATCAAAATAGCTGGGATTTATGGATGTTCATTCCCCTAAAAATGGTATTAATAGGTATTGATCCATACCCATTTGTCAATGATATTTAAACTTATTATCATTATAATTATGATCAATAATGGTGTATTACCACACATACTCATCATAATTACACTGGTTGGTGGTATACCTACCCCTCTGAAAAATATGACTTCGTCAGTTGGTGGTTATTATTCCCAATATATGGAAAAAGTAAAACATGTTCCAAACCACCAACCAGATTAGAAGAGGTCCTCATGTATTTTTTGGAGGGCCTTCATGCTCAACGTATACTTCGCACTGCATGACACGTGCCATCCCTGGCAGTTGGCTTCAACCAGAAGATGCACTGGTCAATGAGACCAAGGTTCACGGTCCAAAGGATCCGAAGGAATTACAGAAGCAATACAAAACACATACAAATAACACACAAAATATGTATGTGGACATGCGCGACATCTGCAAAAACCCATGAACAATCTCAAACACCAGGCAATTCACAGTTTTTTTGTCGATAATGTTCAAGACCAGTCTAGCACAATTGAAGGCTTCCCATGGGGGTAACCCCAAATCATCGCTTCTTTGGGGATTTCCCCATCCAGCTATTGGGGTACCCCCGATTTACGGACGCCTGATAGCCCGGCGGGGCGCGCATGCCGCCAACACATGGCCTGAAGGAACTTTACGCCGTAAGCCGAGCCCAGGTCGGTATGAAACTGGGCGGTTTATGGGTTTTCTGCACATGGGTGTGTCTGTGTCTGTGTATGAAGTAGGGCACCAAAATTTCAGACAAAATCACCATACCCTCACTGTATCTAATTATGCATCTGCACAAATTGCCGCGCCGCAGCCTCATTTGCTTGAAACTCACCGTGCGCCAACCGGTGTTGTCGCAGGCGGTTCGTTGGGCAGCCTGGGTGATTAAGACATGTCACAATGGGGCAAGACGGTAGTATCCTAGAAAATGGAACATGGAAACATGTTTTAGTACAATACTTACTGGTGCTTAGTAGGGAATGAGGGAATGATCCATAATCACTATTAATAATAATCCCATTCCCTCATTCCCATCCATTCCCTGCTAAGCACCAGTAAGATGTTTTAGTACAATATATGAAGTGTATACTGCATACATCTGCATACCACACATCTCCACACATGCAGCCAATTCATAAAATATATATATATATACATCGGGAAGAACTGGGATATTGCACGATGATGCATGATATATCAAGTCCTGACACCTCCCGATGAGCAGCTTGCCAGGGACTGGGACTTTGACCCGGACGCCTCAAACCTGTGGGCATGTTGTTTCTTTATTTTTCTTTGACCATGTATAAAACCTCATGAGTTTTCGCTGAAAAACCAAGTTACACCATGTTACACAAAAAGCCCTACCTTTGGCATTTTTATTTCCGACATTTTGGTTGGCTCCGAAAATTCTACCCCAACCATTTGTGGGTCACTCTGGACTCCTGCATTGGGTCGTGGTGGGTCATGGTAGGTCCCGACGGTCTGATCTCTGTACCTACCCGGCACCGTCCAAGCTGAGGCGCTTATTTTTTACACATCTGGGTATGGGTCAAAATTAGGTACCCCAATAATTGGATGGTTAATACTACACTAGACTAACATCTGTGGTCCCCTAGGTCTTCCATTTTGACCCACATCCATCTATAGTGCCTTTTCTTGGGAGGCCATGGTGTGTCCCAATCTCCGCAAATCGTTTGACTGTTGACTGGGAAAACCGTTGACATCCGTTGAGCCTTGAAAATGATTTTTCCACCATCTTCAACCAGGCCAGACTTCTGCCCATGATCCCATCTTGGGCCAGGACAAAATCCTGAACTTGGCAGGGAGGACATGCCATCAACGTGGGCCTCAGCGTCCAGGCGTCCAGGGCTCAGGCTTGGTGCACCAAGTCTATGGAATAAACGTACGTCGTTCGTGCTTTGCATATGACATGATTTGTAGATGGTTTATGTGTGGTTTACGTATGTTTATGTATGGTTTATGTGTGGTTTATGTGTATATATATATAGACCCCGTAACTCTGCACAATAGGAGGATTCGGTATGGCCTAGTAACGGATTTACAAGTACTACGGGCCCATTGTAGGGTTGCAACTCTAAGCTTCTGGACACCTGTCGTAATGGTTGAGCCAACCGTCCAAAAAATCGGCATCAACCGACGTCACTTTGCCAAATTGGAATATTGAAAAACACATTGTCATGTGTGCGGCTGAAAAAGAAGCCTGAACGTATCTGGTATGTCGATGCAGAGCATCCCGCCATCATCAATTAACAGTCATCAACGGAAAGAAAGTCATTTCCGAAAATACCAGCCAAACACAACCAAACACCAGCTTGCACATGCGTGCAAACCATCTACAAATTCTGGATTCTACTGTGTCAACATGGGCACGTGCCCAAAATAAAGTTATGCTGGTTGCATCCTCAGTCTTCTCGGTGATATCAGCTCCATCCCACGGTTCGTTTTCCCAACTCAACGGATTGATGGTTTAGTCTTTGAATCCCCTTTTTTTAGCTCTATGGTTATTAAACATAGCTATGGAAAATCACCATTTTACATCACTAGATATAGGTAATGTTCATCCCAAAATTGACGGAATCCTCAGGTGAATTCAGAGAAACCCCAGCTCTTGGTCTCCCCGCCACTCCAAGTCAAGGCGTCCACAACCGAAGATTTTTGGAAGGGCACTGCCTCCCATTTCCGCAGAATCCCACCATGAAAATGATGAAATATCAAAGACTTAGCAATAATCATAACAATGATCATATAGTTAATAAATGTTAATAAATAAGCACCACCAAAAACAAGTAGTAACAAGATAAAAAGGTTGCAGATAGTACCAGTAGTAGTACTAATAATTACAACACAAACAATGAATAATAACAATGACAAGACCATTTACTTGTAATAAGATTACAAGCAATACTACTTTTCAAGCAAATCATTGTTGTACATCGTTATAAATACCTGTCAATGACTAAACAACATGAGAACCACAATCACCATCACCACAAAAATGACAATCTAACAACAACATGGCACATTTAGTGAAGTGGTTTGCCGTATTTAAATGTTTTCCTATTTAAAACAAAATGGGATTTGTCCGTAGCTATGTTCAATTACCAACGGGTAATCATCATATCATCGTATCCTCATATCGTCCTTGTCGTCGTCGTCATCATCGAGGATTTTGAGGAAACCCAAGTGTTGAGGTCAACCATCTGCCAGGTAATGATCCTCCCACCGGATTGAAACAACAAACATATCTAGACCCACATAAGAACAAAAACACTGGTATAGTTTACTCCATTATTGTCTAGTACTGGGTTCTTGGAGATTGCACCGAGATCAAAACCTTGCTTGGCTGAAATCAAAATAGCTGGTAAACTGATGTTTAGCCAGGCAAGAACATGGTATTATGGGGTTTGAGTGGTTTTGAGTCATCCTATTTGAAACTACTAACGTGAAGCGTCTCATAGGTGTACGCACAGTGAAGCGTACCCAAGATGACAGGCACAGACTTGTAGAACATGGGGCTCCAATCGTCCCAATCAACTCCTAGTTACCCACATTTATGGATGGTTAATATGGTTACAACCCCATCATGCCGCGAATATATCGATCAATCGATACCTAGTAGGGGCTCACCATTGGCTCTCGCACTTGGGATTGTCATTTTTTTCGATGCTTCCGCTTGCGAAAGGAGCGACTCAACAAGTGTCCAAGGCATAAGCTTTGTACGGCCTTTCTAGCCACTTGGCCAAGAAGATCTTTCAATGACCCCCTCAGTTTTTGATATGGGTATGTCATGGGTATGTCCAAAAAATACCGGATGATTGCCAACAGAAAATCACTAAAAACAGCAAAGTATCGCCAACAACAAACGGATATAAACGGATATACAACTTACACATATAGAACTGCTATAGAAATGGATGTCTCCAAACAATCTTGGACCCCAAACATATCCTTGCAGAGCCACTGTCTTCAGGAGCTTGGTTATTTCATCCATTTTTGGACTGACCCTCAGCATGGATTCTCCGGTGTTTGCACCAGCTGGCACCATGTGGCCATCCTGGTAGCAGACATCCAGACTTTCAGAGAACCTGCGGAAGCAGAGTTTGGGGAGTCGGCCCCAATGAGTCGATTCTTGGCAGGAGTGGTAAGCCAGTTGCGCAGGCAGGCACCTCCCCGAGTTAAATCATGCAATTCCAACATGTTCCAATACTTCCCACTGAGACCTGGGAGAAGTACTCCGAATCTTTCCGTGTTTCCATCATTCTCGGTCAATATCCCTATGTTTTTTTTTTAATGGGTGTTTACTACACCATCAAGATTTTTACCGAAGTTTGTGGCCAATCAGCTGTGGTTAGTATATCACCATCTATGCTTCAAAATAAATCCACCAATCTACAAAACCCTCGACAAACATCGCATTCTGTAAAGCTTCACCATCATTTTGCCATCATTTTAGGTGATGTTGCATGCGGGGAAAACCAAGGACACTCCCCATTTGTATGACTTGAATCCTCAGGTTTTTATATGTATATATATATATATTTAGGTCTGAAATCCAGATTTTATGGGTTCATCTAGGTTAGTTACTTGTTTTTCTTGTGGGTTAAATCCACCTGTTTATGGGTTAAATCTCCAATTTTCGCCATCCTCTATTGCGGTGCATGTCCATGCTCCGACCTGCCTAGCAATACTGGTCCTGGCGCTTCAAGATGTCCTTGGCTCCTCTGCGGTAGATCTGGAGAGAATATAAGTAATCCATAGTAATCCCATTCCCACAATGTGTATTCCATAGCATTCCCATCCCCACCATATGAAACCTGGCTGAATTAGACCAACTCAACCTGGAAATAGCTGATAGCTGAGGCCAGGAGGGGGCGCAATGGACTCCTGCAGGAAGGCTGAGGCCAACCTGCTTCATATCGCACTCCAGCATTTCATAGATCAGCTCCTGAGTCAAGCCAGTTTCTGAGATTTCTTGGCAGAAGCAGAGTGCAGAAAATTTCACTGATGTTGTTTGGCTTTGTCGAAAAATGGAATATCCCAAAATCATCCAAAATCCCATCTGACATTAAACCCCATTAATCCCATAGTTCAGCAATCATGTTCCCTATTAAACGAAGTATTTTGCGGAGACTCGCCATGTTCAGACTCACCTCAGGACGTCCGATGGCTATAGCCATGCCGATTTCTGGGATACCGTTTTGTCATAATGACCCAGAAATCTTGTCATTTTGAGGACCTCAAACAATAATAAATTAAACAATATAATATATATATATATATACACCCCCAAAAAAAAACCTCTGGTATTTTAACATAGCTATGGAAAATCACCATTGGCAAATATGATAAACATGTGTCATAGGTAAATCATCGAAATGAATAAATAGGCCCAATGTTCTACATGTTAGATTACCAGAGAGTAAAAATCATGCTGCGCGAGGTGGTGCCCCCCAGCTATGGAGATGTTGGTTTAGTTTCACCCATCACTCTGACTAGGTATAGCTAACACCAAAGCCAACAGTTATGACATGTTGTAACTTTCTGAACTCAACAGTACCTAGTTAAAACCTTTAAAACTACTTCATACTACTTCGATGTATCTATGAGAAACATTGAGAAACCCTATGTTGGTGAACGAAAGCCACCCCCTCAGCATCTTCACAACGAAAGCCACCGTCTGGTTCGGCCACGTGTCCTTGAAGGAAATTTCGGGCTTCCAGCCCAACTTGGCCGCGGCTTTGGCGGGATTTCCCAGCAGGGTCTCCACCTTTGCAGGACTCTGATCCGAGAAATGGTTAATAACTGGTTAATTCCCCAGTAATGATGGTTAATAAATGATGGTTAATAGTGGTTAATAGTGGTTAATAATGGTTAATAACTGGTTAATAATGGTTAATAGTGGTCAATAAATGATGGTTACTGATAGTGAATGATGGTTGATGTGGGTAAAATTGTAAAACAATGCCATAAACTTACCACAACCGTGACTGGGAATGGTTCAAAAACATCCTATTTATATTGTTTTACCCACATGGGTATGGGTCAATACCTATAGATACATTTTAGTGGGATGAACATCCATTTACCAGCTATTTTGGGGTTCACTAGGTACCAGGGTTTTGACCCATCTCCCCACATTAAAAAAATGGATGTTGAATGGAGAATCGCTGAATGGCTTTGGCCAAAGCGAAGTATCATTGGGAGACTTCCCTGACTTTTGACCGACATGAGAATCAGCTTGTGGCGGGGGTGTCCGACATGTGTCATCTGGAAAATCCGGAAACCAATCGTGAGAAGGGATATTGCAAGTCTGATTTAAACACCTCAATAGTAGTAACTCTATTAATATAACATGTAATATGCAATATATAATAATATATCTAATATGTGTGCAGCATGTTCACCCTATCCATTTCTCGGGATGGTCATTTATTGATGATTTAGATATTATCCGTAGCTATGTTAAATTACCAGAGGGTCCAAATGGTGAATTGTCCATCTTCGTGGTGATTTACTGGAGGCTCTGGCATGCTTGAGCTTGGCATTTCCAATTGGCAAAGGACACAGCCCAAGCTCTGTATATGTATGTCTATATCTATACATACATATACATACATATATATAATATATATAGTACAACATATATAGTCATATATATAGTACAATATATATATACATATATATTACAGTATATACATGCACATAACTATCTATCTATCAATCCATCCATCTATCTATCCATCTATCTATATATAGCACACATATATATATATATATCATCGCTCTACATCAATATACACAAAATACAGAGGCACATAGAGGCACCAAGCAGCCTCGGTTGGGCGGAAATACTTCTCACTCACCTGCACCAGCACGTCACCTGTCTTCTCATCCACACCTTGGGTGTTGGGAAACTCATCATTGGAAAAAAGTTGGGGGAAGCAATGAGCGAAATTCAATAGCACGAAATGGTTGAGTATACTTTTTCCCTATGAACAGTCCAACATCACGACCATTCTGGCAAAACTTTGAGCAGGTATCAGGGTGAACGTGTGAACAGCAAGGCAGCAAGCTATCAGGGTGAAACGAAAGGGATAAATGACCCCCTTTCCATGTAAAAAGGGGAAGGCCACCAACAATTGGGTGATGAATATTTCAACAAAAATAGCGTCCAACTTATTAATATGCGGTTTGGGGCCCCGTTGACAAAACTTTGAAAGTGGATGGAGATCTGCAGAAATCGTGCATATCCACCATCTGCTGATCTATTTGAGTTATGGAAACTCCAAAGAATGAGGGGAATTAATTATCATGTGATGTGAGTGGTGTTCGAATTTGTTTAGGAAAAACATTAAAGTTCACAAGAAGCTCCAGAAGCTGCTCTTTCTTGTCTCGTTTGAAATCCTTTGTTTCATGGGTACCTCTGGAGCATGGAGGGATTCCCAAGCTAGTTCATTCCCCATCCTGGCATAGAATACACCGTCAATTTGGGGTTCTATCCTTGCTCTGTTGGCAATCCCCAACATTCCGCTAACTTCTGCACACCAGCCTTTTTGCTTGCTTCTCCCGCTATTGCCCCAAGAAAGCGGTTAATCTTCAGTGGGACATATGACATAACATGACATAATCCACCATTAAATTTGTTAAAAACATAAAAACAAACACATAAAAAATCCAACCATTCACCAGTGTGTTTTAAACACTCAAATCTTTTTTTTGTAGCTGCTTCAAATCCCTCATTTGTGGGGTCAACTTCAGTTTTGCTGGTCAACATCCAACTTGTGCTAGTTGAAACCCGTATTTACTGATGAAATCTTTCATGTTTTGAGGATACGTATCCTAGCTCTCCAGACAGAAAAATGGAAAAGCGTTGGTCAACATCAGCCAAGACTCCCTCCTCTTGCAATCCCGCACCTCTCCACACGACAGGCCTTCCAACCATCTCGAAGCACAAGGTCACCAGATCCCTGACACCTCGGTTGGCGCCTGAGATTAGACTCAACATGCCTCAACCTTGGATGCTGATGACTAGGAAAATAGATGTGCAAAACTCTGTGGGCTTACTGCTACGCAATGTTTGAGCAATACCCATAGTTTCCTCTGTTTCCACAATTTTCCTAATATGTCCATGAACTTTCCATGAATGTTCCATGTATTTCCACATATTTCGATGTATTTCCATGAATTTCCATATAGTCCCTATGTGACACATCACATTTGTAGGAGCTAATCACTGTCTGATCACCTAAAATCCCTCAACATGCAGAAACCTGTAAGGAGTTCGAAGGACCCTTACAGGAACGCCCTTATGCCTCTGTCCGCATTAAACAAAAAAACAAAAACACAACGAACACAGGCAGATTTGACCCCCGGAAAAAAATACTGTACACTATATGTATTCAATGGTAGTCATCAACAATGACAACTTTCACATGTTTCTTGCAAATGGCCTCAGGATCAATACCGACATATGAGTACCATTTGTAGGGGGCTGAATGTCCATAAAACCCATCTATTTTGATGTGAAACAGAAGGCAAAGGCCCAGGGTTTTGACATGTTTTGACCCCCAACTGCTTGTGACCTCCTGATGGTTTCTCCAAAACATGGATGGTCCACTAAAGCTGTTGGGGGTGGTATAGTCATCCAGTATGGGTATGCACATAAATATGTACACATGTGGATAAAAAATATAGTGTGTATATATATATATATATATAATAGGCACCCATGACTTAGGACTTAGGTCACCATAGTGACATAGGAGTTTGTGCACCAAGTCCTAAGTCACTGGTGTTCTTACCAGGTGATTTGTGTGCACCAAGTCCTAAGTCACTGGGGTTATGATTGGACTCAAGCACTTTTTCGGGTTAAAATAAAAATAAAAAATCTTCTCTTAATAAGTCATCAGAACCTACATACTTACATTACATTACAGCACAGTAAATTACGTCACACTACGGTACATTACATTACATTGCATTACAGTAAAGTACAGTACATCACATTACACTACAGTACATTACATTGCATTATAGCAAATTACAGTACATTACAAATTACATACATGCACAGGACTTGGTGCACAAAATCGTCTGTCACTAGAGGGGCACAAGTCCTAAGTCATCAGAACCTACATACTTACAGTACATGGCAGTACAGTACAGTACATTACACTACAGTACATTACATTACATTACATTAAAGTGCAGTACATTACATTACACTACAGTACATTACATCACAGTACAGTACATTACACTACATTACATTGCATACATGCAAAGGACTTGGTGCAAAAAAATCGCATGTCACCAGAGGGGCACAAGCCCTAAGTCATCAGAACCTACATACTTACATTACATTACAGTACAGTAAATTACATCACACTACGGCACATTACATTACATTACATTACAGTAAAGTACAGTACATCACATTACACTACAGTACATTACATTACATTATAGCAAATTACAGTACATTACATTACATACATGCACAGGACTTGGTGCACAAAATTGTCTGTCATTAGAGGGGCACAAGTCCTAAGTCATCAGAACCTACATACTTACAGTACATGGCAGTACAGTACAGTACATTACACTACGTTACAATACATAATACGTTAAACAAAAATGAAAAAACACAAAGAATGCATAAAAAATATGTCATAAATATTTCAAAAATGAAATACAAAAAATATATCTATATTTTTGTTTATTTCTGTAATTGTTTTCAAATAATGTCTGTATGTAAATCGAAGGAAAAAATGAAAATCACAGATTTTTTTTTGAGAAATATTTTTCTGAAGATGGGCACAAGTCCTAAGTCATCAGTTTTCGCAACGGTTGGCTCGAGGACTTCGACCCAACAATGGGGTAGTGCAACGGGGTAATACAAGGGGACCACAATAGGGAAGCAAAACGGGGGAAACAAAACGGGAAACAGCAGAGAAAAGTGAAAAAAAAATATATGTATTTTTTCATTTGTTAAATTGCTTTAAAATAATGTCTGTATGTAAATCGAAGGAAAAAAAACATCACAGATTTTTTTTTGAAGATGGGCACAAGTCCTAAGTCATCAGTTTTCGCAACGGTTGGCTCGAGGACTTCGACCCAACAACGGGGTAGTGCAACGGGGTAATACAAGGGGACCACAATAGGGAAGCACAACGGGGGAAACAAAACGGGAAACAACAGAGACAAAATGACAGGTGAAAAAAAAATATTTTTTATTTAGTTGCTTTAAAATAATGTCTGTATTTAAATCGAAGGAAAAAATGAAAATCACAGATTTTTTTTGAACTATTTTTTGAAGATGGGCGCAAGTCCTAAGTCATCAGTTTTGGCAACGGTTGGCTCGAGGACTTCGACCCAACAACGGGGTAGTGCAACGGGGCAATACAAGGGGGACCACAATAGGGAAGCACAACGGGGAAAACAAAATGGGAAACAGCAAAGAAAAATGAAAAGTGAAAAAAAAAACAAAAAAAACAGATGTTCTATTTTATTTAGTTGCTTTCAAAAAATGTCTGTACATAAATTGAAGGAGAAAAAACGAAAATCATATATTTTTGAAATATTTTTTTGAAGATGGGCACAAGTCCTAAGTCATCAATTTTTCATTCGATTTATATGCATACATTGTTTTCAAGGTATTAAATAGATTTAACATTTATGGAAATAACTTTTTTTTTCCGTTTTCATTTTTCCATTTTGTTTCCCGTTTTGTGTCCCCGTTTTGTTTCCCCGTTGTGTCTCCCCGTTGTGTCTCCCCGTGGTGTCTCCCCCGGGCGGTGATCCCAATGCAACGAGTCGGGGTGAGCGTTTTGCGCCAACTCGCGCGTGCGTTGGTGGAAAATGAAAGCGAGCAGTTCCCGGTCGCCTCTGCACTCCCTGTGGCGCCGCAGTGGGGTGAACAACGGGGTAAGACAATAGGGACCACAATAGGGAAGCACAACGGGAAAAAAAACAGGAAACAGCAGAGAAAAGTGAAAAAAATGTATGTATTTTTTTTTAATTAAATTGCTTTAAAATAATGCCTGTACATAAATCGAAGGAAAAAATGAAAATCACAGATTTTTGAAATATTTTTTTGAAGATGGGCACAAGTCCTAAGTCATCAATTTTTTCAACGGTTGGCTCGAGGACTTCGACCCAACAACGGGGTAGTGCAACGGGGTAATACAACGGGGACCACAATAGGGAAGCACAACGGGGGAAACAAAATGGGAAACAGCAGAGAAAAGTTAAAAAACATATATGTTTAAAAAAATAAAATAAATTGATTAAAAATAATGTTTGTATGTAAATCAAAGGAAAAAATGAAAATCACAGATTTTTGAAATATTTTATTTGAAGATGGGCACAAGTCCTAAGTCATCAGTTTTCGCAACGGTTGGCTCGAGGACTTCGACCCAACAACGGGGTAGCGCAACGGGGTAAAACAAGGGGACCACAATAGGGTGGCACAACGGGGGAAACAAAACGGGAAACAACAGAGAAAAATGAAAAGTGAAAAAAACAAAAAAAACATTTTTTTTAATTTTATTTAGTTGCTTTAATATTAATGTCTGTACATAAATCGAAGGAGAAAAAATGAAAATCACAGATTTTTGAAATATTTTGTTGAAGATGGGCACAAGTCCTAAGTCATCAGTTTTTCAACGGTTGGCTCGAGGACTTCGACCCAACAACGGGGTATTGCAACGGGGTAATACAACGGGGACCGCAATAGGGAAGCACAACGGGGGAAACAAAACGGGAAACAGCAGAGAAAAGTTAAAAAACATATATGTTTAAAAAAATAAAATAAATTGATTAAAAATAATGTTTGTATGTAAATCAAAGGAAAAAATGAAAATCACAGATTTGTTTGAAATATTTTTTTTGAAGATGGGCACAAGTCCTAAGTCATCAGTTTTCGCAACGGTTGGCTCGAGGACTTCGACCCAACAATGGGGTAGTGCAACGGGGTAATACAAGGGGACCACAATAGGGAAGCAAAACGGGGGAAACAAAACGGGAAACAGCAGAGAAAAGTGAAAAAAAAATATATGTATTTTTTCATTTGTTAAATTGCTTTAAAATAATGTCTGTATGTAAATCGAAGGAAAAAAAACATCACAGATTTTTTTTTGAAGATGGGCACAAGTCCTAAGTCATCAGTTTTCGCAACGGTTGGCTCGAGGACTTCGACCCAACAACGGGGTAGTGCAACGGGGTAATACAAGGGGACCACAATAGGGAAGCACAACGGGGGAAACAAAACGGGAAACAACAGAGACAAAATGACGGGTGAAAAAAATATATTTTTTATTTAGTTGCTTTAAAATAATGTCTGTATGTAAATCGAAGGAAAAAATGAAAATCACAGATTTTTTTTGAACTATTTTTTGAAGATGGGCGCAAGTCCTAAGTCATCAGTTTTGGCAACGGTTGGCTCGAGGACTTCGACCCAACAACGGGGTAGTGCAACGGGGCAATACAAGGGGGACCACAATAGGGAAGCACAACGGGGAAAACAAAATGGGAAACAGCAAAGAAAAATGAAAAGTGAAAAAAAAAACAAAAAAAACAGATGTTCTATTTTATTTAGTTGCTTTCAAAAAATGTCTGTACATAAATTGAAGGAGAAAAAACGAAAATCATATATTTTTGAAATATTTTTTTGAAGATGGGCACAAGTCCTAAGTCATCAATTTTTCATTCGATTTATATGCATACATTGTTTTCAAGGTATTAAATAGATTTAACATTTATGGAAATAACTTTTTTTTTCCGTTTTCATTTTTCCATTTTGTTTCCCGTTTTGTGTCCCCGTTTTGTTTCCCCGTTGTGTCTCCCCGTTGTGTCTCCCCGTGGTGTCTCCCCCGGGCGGTGATCCCAATGCAACGAGTCGGGGTGAGCGTTTTGCGCCAACTCGCGCGTGCGTTGGTGGAAAATGAAAGCGAGCAGTTCCCGGTCGCCTCTGCACTCCCTGTGGCGCCGCAGTGGGGTGAACAACGGGGTAAGACAATAGGGACCACAATAGGGAAGCACAACGGGAAAAAAAACAGGAAACAGCAGAGAAAAGTGAAAAAAATGTATGTATTTTTTTTAAATTAAATTGCTTTAAAATAATGCCTGTACATAAATCGAAGGAAAAAATGAAAATCACAGATTTTTGAAATATTTTTTTGAAGATGGGCACAAGTCCTAAGTCATCAATTTTTTCAACGGTTGGCTCGAGGACTTCGACCCAACAAGTGCAACGGGGTCACAAGCGCAACGGGGTAAAACAAGGGGACCACAATAGGGTGGCACAACGGGGGAAACAAAACGGGAAACAACAGAGAAAAATGAAAAGTGAAAAAAACAAAAAAAACATTTTTTTTATTTTATTTAGTTGCTTTAATATTAATGTCTGTACATAAATCGAAGGAGAAAAAATGAAAATCACAGATTTTTGAAATATTTTGTTGAAGATGGGCACAAGTCCTAAGTCATCAGTTTTTCAACGGTTGGCTCGAGGACTTCGACCCAACAACGGGGTATTGCAACGGGGTAATACAACGGGGACCGCAATAGGGAAGCACAACGGGGGAAACAAAACGGGAAACAGCAGAGAAAAGTTAAAAAACATATATGTTTAAAAAAATAAAATAAATTGATTAAAAATAATGTTTGTATGTAAATCAAAGGAAAAAATGAAAATCACAGATTTGTTTGAAATATTTTTTTTGAAGATGGGCACAAGTCCTAAGTCATCAGTTTCGCAACGGTTGGCTCGAGGACTTCGACCCAACAATGGGGTAGTGCAACGGGGTAATACAACGGGGACCACAATAGGGAAGCACAACGGGGGAAACAAAATGGGAAACAGCAGAGAAAAGTGAAAAAATGTATGTATTTTTTTCATTTGTTAAATTGCTTTAAAATAATGTCTGTATGTAAATCGAAGGAAAAAATGAAAATCACAGATTTTTGAAATATTTTTTGAAGATGGGCACAAGTCCTAAGTCATCAGTTTTCGCAACGGTTGGCTCGAGGACTTCGGCCCAACAACGGGGTAGTGCAACAGGGACCACAATAGGGAAGCACAACGGGGAAACATAACGGGAAACAACAAAGAAAAATGAAAAGTGAAACAACAACAAAAAAATATTCATATTTTTGATTTTATTTAATTGCTTTAAAATAATGCCTGTACATAAATCGAAGGAGAAAAAACGAAAATCATATATTTTTGAAATATTTTTTTGAAGATGGGCACAAGTCCTAAGTCATCAATTTTTCATTCGATTTATATACATACATTGTTTTCAAGGTATTAAATAGATTTTATCTTTATGGATATAACTTTTCTATTTTTTCGTTTTCATTTTTCCATTTTGTTTCCCGTTTTGTGTCCCCGTTTTGTTTCCCCGTTGTGTCTCCCCGTTGTGTCTCCCCGTGGTGTCTCCCCCGGGCGGTGATCCCAATGCAACGAGTCGGGGTGAGCATTTTGCGCCAGCGCACGCGCGCGTTGGTGGAAAATGAAAGCGAGCAGTTCCCGGTCGCCTCTGCACTCCCTGTGGCGCCGCAGTCGGGTGAACAACGGGGTAAGACAACAGGGACCACAATAGGGAAGCACAACGGGAAAAAAACAGGAAACAACAGAGAAAAATGAAAAGTGAAAAAAAAAAACAAAAAAATATTCATATTTTTGATTTTATTTAATTGCTTTAAAATAATGCCTGTACATAAATCGAAGGAAAAAAAAGAAAATCACAGATTTTTGAAATATTTTTTTGAAGATGGGCCAAATAGCCAAATAGCTGCAGCACACGGGCGTGATGACTTAGGATCATCTTAGTATACTTCTGCTAGTTAATTCCTATGTCATCCTGGTTTTACGAGTGGTCCATGCCGCACAAAAAAAATCAAGCATAGTTTCTAATCTCATACGGACACCTGATGAGTTGGGACTTGTGCAGGGGGGGTCTGAAGCATGATGAGATAGGACTTGTCCACCCCAGGGTATCTTTCACAAGTCCTAAGTCACTGGTACCTAATATATATATATATTATAAGTATGTATGAATATGGACATGTATACAGTAAATATGTATAATTATTAATGTGTAACTCTGTATAACCATGTATAATTGTATAGATATGTATATGTATAGTACAGCATAGTCATCCAATATGTATACACCATCAGCTGATCACCTGCAGGCCACTGTATTGCTTGTTGGTAGCCACCACGAAGTCATCCGGCTTCTCACCTGAACTCATTTTTTCCGCTCTTTAAGACCAGGTAAAGCTCACCATGATTTCCTTTTTTTAAGTGTCTATGTTTTTTTGGAATGATACCCTCTGGTAATTTGTTACATAGCTATTGAAAATGGCTATAGAAATCGTGGATTTTCCCATTAAAAATGGTGATTTTCCATAGTTTTTTGTATGTTTACCAGAGGGTAAAAAGAACCAGCGAGCTCCCAGACTGTTTTTTTCTATTTTTGGATCAGCTTTTTCAAGGGGAAGCTTCAGATCTTCCGAAGGATGGCAAGAAAAAAGATCACATTTTATGATGCCCCATAGTCCGCGAAGTTGGATCAATAGCTAATATAAGTAGGATTTATGGTGTACATATATGTACATAGTATATATATATATATACATAGTAAATATACACATAGTAAAATGGGGGTTATAACGGTTATAACTTATAACCAACTTATAACAAGGCCACCATCTCTTGGTTCTTGGGAAAACGGCACCTGATGCGGGAAACATGATGATCAACCAGTGACTTTTAGAGGATATTCTGGGGTGTTCAAAGCCATTTCTGTACTGAAAAACAGGACTTCAGGATGGAATCCTTTCGAATCCTTGTGTTGTGAACCAAAAAGCCTTGCCAAGTTACATTGCAACATCATCCACATCATTCGAACGTAGTCCTTGGCATGTCCCCAGTCGCGCTTGGAATCCAAATTGCCTTGGCGGGCGAAACACCCATGTCAAAAACACGGCAAACAAGCAGTTGGGATTGATCATGTTACACATTGGGGGTTAAACATTGTTAAAATGCAAAATATGTGAAACCACCAAGCAGTTGATTTTGCTGGGATAGGAACATCACCGCATCAATCTTATGGCTATCTTGATGTGACAACAAGTCTGATCCTTCAACCACTTTCTACAGATTTGATGAATCACAAGTTCTACTCCATTATATTCATCCTAGGCGTTCAACTTTCCATGCCTAGGTTGTCAATCATTAGTTCATTGCAGCTATTTCGGTGGGCTCGACCATCAGATATTCTCCAGCAAACTTGGGATATGTTATGATACTGTGGATGGTTGCGAAATCCTGCACCAGTTGATAGATGGTTTATCCGTTTATCCCATTACTTATAGGGTTTCAACCATCCCAAATTGGTGGTGCAGGATTTCGCTGGCCCATCCACAGTATGTCACCAATGGAGATTTCAGGGACACTTCCAATCATCACAAGTGGAGCAGGCTGTTGGACATGCTTTACACATTGTTTCCACAAAAACAACGGCTAGTGTTTGACACATTGTTTCCACAAAAAAAAGGCAATGCCAATCCAATCAGAACCCGTGGCAGCATGTTTTGCTACAGGGACATCATTTTCATGAAGCATCAGTGGAGAGGACCTATTCTTGTCACGAGGGAAAATCTTGGGGAATTGCTGGAAAGGGGGATGGCTCTTGGGGATTGATAACCAGACCACGACCTCATGCCATCTTTTCATGGCAATGGCAATGCATGGCAATACATGGCACATGGCTTGTGAGAGTCTTTTGGGGACCATCTTTTCATGGCCATTTCTTCCAGGACAGAATCTTCGCCCTGGCCCATGAGACCCTTATAGACCCGAGACCGAACAACCCAGCAGACGACAACAAAAAAATGCATCAAAAGAAATCACCCTTCACATCCCCGGATTTTATATAAGTGGGTGAATCATTAAGATGAACATCTCCAGATTTTGAAGTAATTTCGAGCATTTCCCATCCCATCCAACTCCCCCATTTTGTCGACCGGCAACATAGCTGCTATAGCTATGGAAGATCCACCAGTAGATGTCCATAACTTTTTGTATGCTTACCTCTAGGCTAAATACCTCACCATTTTCGTATTTTTCATGATTACATAATCGGTTTTTGATGGTTAACCCATGGATCCCCCAAAAAAACAAAGCCGCGTTGCCCAGAAGGATCCGCTGCCGACTGCCCTTCATGACCTGCGCGACGTTGGACGTGACCTTTTTGGTCACAAAGGTGCCACCGCGGCGCGGACTCTCGTGGTTGAAGAGGATGCCGTTGCTGGCAAACCTCGGGATGATTTAAAAAGGCCGTTTGACAATCCCATGACGGATCCATGGTGCTGGTATATATGGTAGATTAATGCTAACATAAAGGGGCTATATTGATGGGATCCATGTTACCATATATAGCATACATGGATCCTGTGGGAATGAAGAAATTGGAATTGAACCATCGAAAATTATGATTATGATTGATGATGATTTAACGATCATAAACCTACGAAAGAAATGATTGAAGTGACGGTGGGCTAATGTGGGAATCGGATTTAAGGCCGGATCTTTGGGAAGATCTCGGGGCAGTGTTGAAAATTGGAGGTTTTTTCCTGATCGTTCAAGCGGCTTTCCAGAGTTTTTGCTGGTGAGTTCTTAAAGAAACAATGGCGCGCAACGGAAAGCTGTGGACGTGAATTATGTCCTGCAGGCTGAATCAGAACCTTGTAGGGCATACCCTGTGCTCGTGAAACATGCATTGATCATCTCCATTGATGAAATGGTCAATTGGCAGAAGAAATCTATGGAGCGGATGCAAATTCATGACCATGGACCATGGAAGCAGATTTGTGATAGATTGGAGGGAGTATACACCAATTCACCGGGTGGTTGGGGGGGGTCCTCAACAAACCATAGATTTCAGATTATTTAAGATTTACCAGTTTACCAATCAATTCTTGTTTGGTTTTCCTGTATTTTTTTGCTAGAAACTAGAAAATCACATAAGCCCGTTTTAAACCTACTAGCACGTCTTCAATAAAAACTGCATCCGAACTGGTGCCTCACGAACTGCACTTTGAGTTACGGAGTCACCTGTTGCCGGAGCATATCATATATTGGTATATACATATATGTACATATATACATATACGATATGTATACAGTATATACATATGTAATATGTATATATATATATACACACACGTTTACATATGTGATATATTATCTGTATATATAGTACATACTTCGGGGTGACGACTCCTCAGGGATTCGGCTGTTCCTCGTGCCGCCACTAAGGACTGGACATTTCATATGCCTCGCGATAGTTCACCACAATCCAATAAGCATAGAGCTTTGCCACTGCATAGGGAGATCGTGGATAGAACGGCGTCGTCTCCTCAGCGGCCGAAATCAGAGGGAACTGAGAACCACACAGAACCACTATATTTAATCCTTTGACAATTTGTCTGAACATAGACACATTTGTAGTACTAATCTAATCCTTGCTAATCAGTACTAATCATTACTGATCATCCAATTTGAGAATTGCCCAATTTGGACCTGTGAGATCCTGGAGATCCTGGAGATTTTGGATCCCCACTCCAAACTTGCACTGGATCCCCATCTTCTGCAACCCCAAAAGACCGCTAAGCAGAAAGACAGATAAGGTCAGATATATATCTTTTCCAATACTAATCGACTGTTAACTGTTGTCTATATATGTCTATATAATATACCAGGGACATGTGGAGCTTCCGTTTATACAGAGCTTGCGAGCCACAGGGATGATCTGCTAGATGCTGGACCCCCATTCTCAACCAACCATTGCTATGTAGAAAATCACTGATTCATGTGGCTTTGCCTGACAATTCCCGGTTCAAACAGGCAGAACAAATTAGGCTATATTAAAGTATACCACAGGTTTTCACAAACCAAGGCATATCTCCCCATCTTTTTGGTAGGGTGAAGCCAAGTCGCCCATTGTTGGTTGGTGAAAACAAGCAATTGACGTTGACGTTGGATGATGTTCCTTGAAAACATATGCCTAATCATCCAAATCATTCATGGTTGATATATGTTGATATGACTATATATCTATATGATCCGACGCTATCCCCATCTTTGTTTGGTTCTTGCAGTTTATTATTTGCTGGGCTCCCCCATTTCCATCCATTTCCTTTCCATTTCCATGACTATGTAGTTGATCTGTGGTCCCGTCTTCAGTGTCCCATTAACATCACAATGGGTGGGTCATATGTAGTCACCATCCCCAATAGTTGCAGCTTCTGGCTTTCTCTATACGGATTATGGATTCATACACCCTGGTTTGTATACGGTCCCTTCGAAGAAATATGTATCATATTACGGGCATTGTTTATTCATTAATCTATACTGATCTGTACCACATCAACCTTTCAAAGCTGGTTCCCCCAGGTATAAGTGGGTTTATAATCCTATCTCTCTATAGACAATGTCTACCATAAACTCTGCTTATGTTGTGTACCTTTTTACCAACTTGGCGATTCCGAACGGGGCCTCCAGCAACACGAATCCCATCCTCCGTTCATCCCGTCCCCTATGGACCATGATTATTGATGTCTGATGGCGTAATAACATGCAATAACAATGATATAACATAGCAAAGATTAATCATGGCATCACAGTAATAAGTACATTCATAAATATATACTGCATATATATATGATATTAAATGATACTAATAACTCTTCAGGGTAAAAAAAACAACCACTTCTCGCACTTCTTTTTCCACCAAAATCTTTTGCCCCAGCATCTTTCTGCGGCACCTCCTGTACCATGCCATAGAGCTCCGACGTGGAGGCCTGGTAGAACCGGGTGGTCTTCTCCAGCCCCACGGTGCGGATCGCCTCGAGCAGGCGCAGGGTGCCCACGCCATCCGCCTGCGCGGTGTATTCGGGTTCCTCGAAGGAGACCTTCACGTGACCTGAGGCCAGGCCGGCCGTGATCCAATGGGTTGAGTGTTGGAAAGTTACAACATGTTACAACCACAAAGATCCGTTATATATATAATTTATATATATATACATTATATATATATTTATTATATATTATTTATAATGTTGTTGACAAGGAAAAGTTTTGTTGCTAATGAATCTTGTCTTTACTATGATATGGTAAGTTGTTGTGAACTGAAGCGGAATTTGGTGGATATGATTTATCCAAACTGAGAGCTGATTGGTGGATTAAACATGATTAAACATGGAGCAAGAACATGAGGCAAATGATGGTAATTTTGAGCAACAAGTGGAAGATGAAACGAAGAAAGGCTGGGTGATGATAAATGGATATAAATGGGCCAAAATGGGCAGAACGTTGAACATGGGATGTTTGTGCAGCAAAATGGGGTAAGACATGGCACGACATAAAACTGGGATTTTTAAGCAACTAAGAAGAGCACAAACAAGGATAATTAGGAAAAAGGACGGCCGTCAAACTGGAAGATCTGCATTGGGGGGCGTAACAAAGGATAGTTTGAGCTCCGAAGAAACTAAGTGGAGTGGGGTTGCCTACAGAAATCCCAACAGTTGGGGACTCAACCCATCGAAATGGGGTGTAAAACCGATAACTATGGCAATGTGAACCACTTGTAGAGTGAGTTTACTTGTTTTTTTTAGGAAAACCATGTGATGTGTTTGTCTGAAAATACTGTACGCCAATGGCTTCGCTTATCATCATTTTGTTCGGATTCAAGTGGCACCCGGTGGCGGGGTATTCCGGCATTCCCCAATTTTTGGACAGACCCATATTTCTGAAAATCATTGGAAATCCAAGTGACCAGAATCCCTGTGAACTAGTCATGTCCAATGAAATTGCTTTTGGAACCTTATTCCCCCGCGGTGTCAGATTTGGCCTTGCATCACATGTAACAATGACCCCAGCATTTTCTGGATGCTGAGAAAAAATGAGTGATATACATTGATATACTGTAGATGCACAAAGCCACGAACACGGATGCACAAAGAACATGAAGTATAAACGCAACAACTATATTAACTATATTTATATACATGCATTCTATAAACATCGCTATGACTATCTGTTGTATTAATCGTGCAGGATGCATCCCCTAGAAATCCCTCAGCATCACCAATTTTCCTCGAGTTCCAAGTCACTTTGGGCTGCTAGGTTGTAGACTTCGTCTGGCTTCACCTCAGGATTTTATGGACAAAATACAAAACACGGATGATCCCCCTAGCCATTGATCATTGGATTTTATTTCTTGGGAAAAAGTACAGTTGAAACATGTTGAAACCATGGTTTTTCCTGGTAATCATAGGGCTATGGGGAGTTTGGGTTTCGATTGTCCCTTCATCTGATTCCGGGGAATTGAAGGAGATGTTTGCGAGGCTTTGCAACTGAATCGGATGGCATTTCTATAGGTGGTTTTGACTGAACGCAAATGCGCAGAGATGATATGGGTATGGATCAAAAATTGGGCCATAATTGGGATATTAATTGGGATTTTCTGACTACTGCAAGTGACTAAAATCTGTCGTTCCAAAATTGGGCCTACCCTCTGGTAAACTAACATAACTATGGAAAATCACCATTTTCAATGGGAAAACTCACTATAAATCACCATTTTCAATAGCAAACTGTTTGTTTACCAGAGGGTAAATTTTGACCGATACCCATATGCATCATATGCATCATATGCTGCTTGCTCACCTTCGCCATGATGGACGCCAGGTTGGAGGAATCAACCAAGTCTCCATAGTGAAGGTTCACCTGCCCACTGGCGACTGGCGCAAAAAAAAGGGAGATTAAAGGAGATTTGAGCAAGGACAAACACATGGAGATGTAAGGATATGTAAGATGCAACATCATGTAAGATAATGTAACATGTTCAAAGACGCTTTAACACATGTAAGATGATGTAAGATCATGTAAGATCATGTAGGATCACATAAGATGATTCATATAAGATGATGTAAATCGATGCAAATATAATCATATGCAGATAGGAGCATAAGTCTAGAAAAAAGCATTGGTTCTAAAATGTTCTAAACATCCAATTGTAAACTTCCCCCTTGCCGAAGCTCCCAAACATGTTGAATACACCAGTGATTCCAACGCCTTTGGTAGGCATACAGGACTGAAACATACTGAAACATTGATCCATAACAACCTTCCGCACCCTTGAGTTTCGAAGCTTGAGCCCTGATGCAATAAACGTTTAAGGTTGTCGTAACCCAGCTAAATGTCCATCACAAGCAGATGATGGAGATGTATGAAAATCGTTGCTGGGGTGCTCAATCATGGATTCAGAGAATTCAAGGTGACATCATCAGTGAACCTGAAGTTGGTGAATGGGCCATCCAGTGCCACCGATTCCTATATGTCTATCTGTCCATCCACGAAAAATCGGGTGCCCGCAGCAGTCCCATCACCGGGCACTGCTAAGGCTCTGCGCCTTATCGAATATATGATCAATGCGACTGGTGTTGAAACTGGAGGATCTACGGAGGATCCCATGCACTTCGTAGCCTTGACTGAGTTCGAAGTGCGACTGGTGGGAACCAAAATGGGGACCAAAATGGAAACCAAAATGGGGACCATTTAAATGACCAGACTAGGGATATATATATATATAACATATCCCAGTATCCAGTTAACAATGGAGATTTCGAAAAATTGGGCAAAAGGGTTTTGATCATACCCACAAGTAGATTTGAACGGACACCAAAATGTCTACAGTCACTGTTGGGGTTGCTCTCAGGATCTCTCAGGACTGCGGGAAAACGAAAACATAGAGTGATCAAGTTGGTTCAACTCACTTTCCCTTGTATGCATCACATCACCTCCCAGTCTCAGGCTCCAAGGCCCTTGGATCCCTTGGCTTTTTCCAAGCAACCCTTCTCCAAAAGGAACTCGGCTAAGTAGGACCCATCCTGCCCCGTGATACCTGTGATGAGTGCAGTTTTCCTCATCTCTGTTGTGCCCGCCGTCTGGGAACCAAAAGATTGGGCGACGACCGTAGCGCCACCGAAGCGGCACGGCGTCGCGAAACGGGGTTGGAGCTTGAGCCCAGCAACTGGCAACGACTTGGATTTGGGGATTCCGAGGTAATGTGGTAGACCCAAAACCACAAACCATCCCCAAGATCACCAGAAATGGGTCTTCAGCATTAAACATTGGGGGTTTATGACATGGGTTTGACCATTAGTTCACTCGGTTTACATCCTCTTTTCACATTTTGGTCGTTCTGAGCAGCTCAAAAGTTGGGTACGAATGATACAAACGGACTCGTCATTGTCAGTCATGTTCAGTCTTTAATCATCCATTGGTGGGGGTCAATAACCTTGAGTCAGTCGCACATGGTCGCTGATGAAGGCACTGCTGGTGCATTGATGTCGTCCCTGGGTAAAGGCAAATGCCTTCACATGCACATTTGCATAGATCAAATTCTTTTCACATCTATCTGAGTTCGCATATGGTTTTTAATTGGAGGCATCTCCTTAAGAACTAAATGATTCTGCAAAAAATCATCATCATTCACTCACCGAGTAGATTGAGTAGATACCTTAAATTCATAAATCATCATATTCACTAACCATCATAATTCACTCAATAAATCAACATGGCAATACGTCCCCTCATCTTCTCCATTCCAGTGGCGTCGTGCATGGTACCCTTTTCAGGTTGATGCTGTTGAACCCCTCGCACCTGCTACGCGAAGACCGTCCAGGTGAATATTACCTACAGGTCTTTGCCAAAGCGGTCAACTGCTTGTGGAGGGATTCCCAGAGTGGATTAGAATTGATTGTGAAAATCCAAGAAGTGGATCATGGGACCATGTTCGTGACAAAAACATGTCACGAAATTAACGCACATATCTGCATGTTTTCCCACAAATTATATAATCCACTGTGACAATCCCACTGAAATCACTTAGTACAGCCCACAGAAAACATGAATCAACCATCATTTGGAGTTATATTCTTACATTTGAAGGGGAACACCCACATCTTCCCCCTATTTTCAATATAACCAACAAACCGACTATGTCCGTTTTGAATCACCCTTTTGCAGCTGACATATCCCTATATGTTTGATTCTTGAAATCACTATTTTTCATATTCATTTAGCCGATTTAGCCATCAACTAACCGTGGTTTCTGGTTGAAATCTCCATTCTAAAATTTAAGTCCTGGATTGTCTTTGTTCATGCCTACCACTCACATCATTTCTGAATCGTGTCACATTCCGATTGCTGCAGCCCAAATCCCGATTTCTGGCTGGTTCATCCATATGTATACTAGGACGTACATCTAGTGAGACCCCAAAAGAACAGAAAAACTAACATCCTTCTAAAAGGTGGTAAACTAAGTTCTTGATCTTTTCGCTGGGGTGCTGTTCATATGTATAAATATCTAATATAATAAAAAATAAAATAGTATAATATATATATATATACATACAACAAATACTGTAAACATATATGTCTCAAAAATACTATATAATGTCAGTAAAGCAATTAAACCACTCATATCCATCCATATTTTGATGTTTTACACCACCAATTTATGGTAAATTTGGGGATGGTTTACTACTGCTTCACTAACAATTATATTAATAATTACATTGCTACATCACACACACAGAGATATGTTTATATATATATATATACATATTAATATATATATACATATATTAATGTATATATATATACATATTAATATATATAAACATATATTAATATATATATATATATATCTATCTTTACAATATTAATTTATATACATATTTATACATATATATATATATACAGAGGTATCCATTAACCCAGGGGGCCCAACTGAATCCCTCGCCGCCACGTGGCCGTTGGCATCCTTTCGCGCCAAAGATTTCAGGGGCGCGGTGGCATCACAGCGCAGCAGCAACGAAGCGGAGAGCAGAGCCTGCGAGGCTTGGGTGAACCTTGGGATTGGTCTAACCGTGGGGATTTTTGATGAGGATTTCATGGGGATTTCATGGAATCTCCATGAGATTTAAGATGGGGATTTTCATGAAATAACCAATGAATTGGATTTTCATGGAACATGCCCTGTATTTGATATCATGGGGATTTTTTTGTATGGGAGTTGATTATGGGGTATAATGGGGATATGTGCCATGGTCAAGCGGGGAAATCCACGAATAAATGGAGCTTTCTAGCTGGGAAAATCAACTAGAAATGGGCACATTCTCCATTACCAGGTTACCATGTTTGGGTACAAGGTAGCGCCCAGTTCATTAGCCAAGTTGGTTTAGTTCAGTAGGTTAACGTTGGGTTTATGGTACCCTCTGGTAAACTAACATAACTATGGAAAATCGCCATGTTTAATGGCAAAATCCACTATTTCTATGGCCATGTTCAATAGCAAACTGTTTGTTTACCAGAGGGTAGCTATAACTATACTTAATAGGCTTGCTAAATCAACTTATAACGGTGCCCACCTTGTATTCAAATGGTGAGACATATGTGAAACATATGTGAAAAAACATGGTCCCTGGTCATCCCATGCCATGGTAGTCTATCTTAGATTAAATGGGAATGACTACCATCCCCCAAATAATGGCGATGAAAAATCTTATAAATTTGACCATAAATGGTGACATATTGTGAAAAAGGGACCTTATCGTAGATATACTCATAGTTACTATAGTTACTATAGTTACTATAGTTACTATAGTTACTATAGTTAGATGAGTTTACCTTCTGGTAATCGCACAGTTCGCAATGAGGAAAAAACATATTTTAATATGGACATCGTCTACACGCAGGCCATTTTCCGTAGTTTGGTGGGGTCATAAGGTGCTTTGTCCCAATATATACAACTCTGACTCAGAGTGATTGATACCCTCTGGCAATTTAACGTAGCTATGGAAAATCACCATTTCAATGTGAATAAACCTAAATAATCTATAAATGAACCATTTTCCATAGCTATGTTAAATCATTTGAGGCCTTTAACTACTTAATCATTGGTTGATGGATGACTATCTCAATTGACTCGTAATTGGCGGCTATTGTATTATATATACACGGTATATAATATACATATACAATATCATATGTAAATCTCTAAGGGTACCTAGTACTACCCTCCCCAACAAGAGTCACACCCCCAACAACGAGGCTTCACATATTAGGGTTATTATCCAGCATCGACCTACTTCATTATGTTCGCAAAAAAAAAAAAACACATGTTTTCCAATTCTTCAATCCGTTAACAAATAACAACAAGTTTCAATGTCCAGCTTAAATTCTCAGATGTTCCCCATCTTTATGAATGGTGGTTTCCAAAGTCATGGGGGTACCAACATCACTGGATGGTTTTGGAAAATCCTCAAGAAATGGAGGATTTGGGGGTACCATGGGGTACCCCGACTTAAACCCCCCTCCATTTTTTCATAACTCCACCACTTTTAGACCCAACCCCCCCATTTTTTCCGTGGCTTCCCATCCACCTCTGCAGGTGCGGCCATACCGGCGGGACACGCCACGATGTTCTTCAGAGTCGCCTGGAAACAGCGATGATGACAGGATGTTGTGCCGACCAAAAAAGGTAGATGTACCCTCCGGTATATCATGGAACATCTACCTTACCATATAATATGGTATATCATGGAAAATCCACCATGTATGGAAAGGTAGGTCTATGGCATATATATATATCATATGGTTTCTAAAGTTGGAGGTTTTATAAACCAACTTACCCTCCGGTATATCAAAGATGGTATATAATAGGACCGGATTGGCTGACTGATGGCATGATTTGGGTCTGGATTGCCTATAGTAATAGTAGGGTGATTTTCCTATTAACATATCCATTTAGTTCGGAGATTTGCCATTGCCAATGTTGATTAACGGGGGGCATTGGATATACATATAATGTATAATATATATATATGAAATAACTGATATAACTATTAGATGATTCAAAAATATTCAAATCATTTCAAATGAACTTCAAAGGGATTAGAAGCCAACAGTAAAGGGTCAATTATCATTCCGGAAATGAACAAACAATCATTGATAACTATTCTATCACGGCATAGGAACTAGTACACAATTGAGTTGTGTTTTTTTTCCTTGCTAAACTGCAATACACAAATTAGGACACCTACGCGGGGCCTACGCAAACCACTCCTCCCAAGCAAAACTGCCTACGCGAGGGTTACCTTTCAAGAAGTGCCTACGCGGTTGCCTCCGCGAAAGTTGCTGCAACGATCTCTTTACTTGACGTGATGTGATCACAATTCTGGTTCAGAAGAGGAATAGAAAGAATTGGAAGATGACGATTCTTTGGGTGACTTGTGAAAGGAAGGCGGAAGCCTCATCAAGAGTGGAGCACTGTGTCATGATGTGATCGGCAGTCATGATGAACTCATGGAAGCATTAGAAAAGTGAAACGGTAAGACTTCGATGGGCTACGGCTACGGGCCACAATTTGACCTAGGGCCTCCGCGTTTCCTACGCGAGGGCCTACGCGGAGCCTACGCGAAAATCCGAACCGAAAATGGCTGTTCGAAAACTTGGCACTTGTAATTTTCTGAAAAAGCGATTGTTTCCTTAATCTCCCCTGTCTTCCAGCTAAACATATGAACCATACCATCCAGTTTGCATTTGAAATCATTGTAAGCCACCACGAAAAACAAGAGTTCGAGGTCAGAAACAAACAATCTAGAACATCTAAACAAGTGCCTACGCGAGACTGCCTACGCAGCCTCCCCTACATTATCCTACGTATATGCCTACGCGAAACCTACGCACCAAGCAGAATAGCCTACGCATGAATGATGTGAGTTCCTCCTCAATCTAAATTCCATCATCTGGAAAAAAACGTGGCTCAATTGGGATCAATTGAATGTGTTTCATTTAGACCCACAAGCCATAAATAAACAAACACCAGCCATTTTCAACCGGCCAGTTTACATTGAAATCATGGCGACATGTGCGATGAGAAATATCACCTGACCAAGCCTTTCCTAACCTGGGTTTATTTTTTGTGTGCTCCCCCAAAGTTCAAGATGCTCTTAGCTTCACTAACCACAAGGCTTAGCCTCTGGCAATCAGACATGGCCTGGAAGATCATGTGCTTCGATGATTTCCCCCTTGAAACCTTTTAAACACGTCATGTTTGATAGGGTTTTCCCAGCCACGAAACTGATGACACTTGGTGGTTAGCATAGATATATCCATTAATCCCTATTAAAGCCCACTAAGATCTTATTAAATCCCACTAAATCCGTATTAAACAAACTCCCATCAAGATCCCATTATATAAATCCAATAAACATAATAGACATCATCCTATTCAAATCCCAGTAAGATTTTCTATAATGGTCCGTTCACATCCCATCAAACTTTCATGAAAAATTCCATTAAAATCACATTAAACCGCCAATTAAATACCATAAAAAAATCCATACACCCCTCATTAGAATCCATTAAATCCCATTAAATCCCATTCAATCCCAGTAAATCCCATTAAATCCTATGACATCCTAATAAATCCTATTAAATCCCATAAAATCCCGTTGAAGTCCATTAAAATCCCGTTAGATTCCATTAAAATCCCATTAAATCCTCTTTTCAATCCCATTGGGTACCCCACCTTGAGATCGAAAGGGTTGGTCGTGTTGATGAACGCAGCTCCTGGACTCTTCACCTCGTGGAAGAGGCGGTCTTCGATCTTTGGTTGAGGATGAGACTGGGATGATAATGGGGTTATATATATTATATCATCATTATATTATCATTATGAAACTGGGATTATAATGGGATTATATAACTAATAATTATAACTATAATCCCATAATGATAGTCTTATTAATCCCATAATTAAAATATATTATAATGCTAATATAACTTATTATCCCATTGAATATAACATCATGATAATGGGGTTATAATAGGATTACAACGGAATTATAATAACTATGCAGTAACTTGCCTAATGTAATAAGTAATAGGATAATTGGATTAAATCCCATTCTATTATAGTAGGGATATATTATTCCCATTTAAACCAACTTAACATTAATAGGGGCTTCTGAAAAAATGGGAGGATATCATAGTTTAACTATAGGTTTCAATATGTTTCAATGGTCATCCATGACTTGGATGATTTGGGCTTCATCCATTTTAGGAAACACCCAAACATATTTTCATCTATGTAAAATATGCCGCATATATAATTTATGCGTAAATAATATAAGTTCTATGCTATAATATAATATAATATAACATAATATAATATAATATAATACAGTATAATATAATATAATATAATAGAATATAGTATAATTATATAATGGCATAGACATAGACACATGACATATTGGTTCATTTCATGGTGTATCATTTCATGTCATATGATGTCACATATCATATTCTGTAATGTTATATCAGGCAGTATCATACTTTACTATATTCGATCAAATTGTCCTAGATTCTATCATATAATATTTTCGTATATCTTTGCACAATTTGCAAACTCTATGGAAGCTCCGGGTATGGAGAATATGTTCAACTCAAACACATGCTTCTTTTGGAAAAGCATGTTTTGGCATTTTTGGCCCATCTGGGGATACTGCAGTAATCCTTCTGGGGATACTGCAAAAATCCTTCACTGCGTAAGTTACTAACACACAGCGTCACAATACACTAAAATACGAACAGCTAAGGAATCACAATCTCGTTGATCAGTGGCCACAACCCAAATGAAATCTTCCATCCGATTCCCGTCCTTCAATGATGGAGTACCTATACCCCTAAGCAAGGGGGATGATTCTACATCCAAATTGAGGCTCAAATCACGTCGTGTCTAGTGACCCAGGAAAAGCGAACGCCACGGACGTTCTCGTTGGCCACTGCCTCACGGATGGTCCATGAAAGGGAGGATGGGATGGGTATATATATATAATTATATAAACCTTTGCAAGTATATTTAGAGATAGACGTATGTGTATAGTAATGTAAACAAATACGGACCTATGTAAACGTATATAATATATATGTAGGTTGGTGGTTTCACCCCGTCCCAAACAAATTGGGTCAAGCCACGAAGGGGATCTGACTCTTCCAGGTAGGGATGGGCAAAGATATGAAACCCCAACCACTACAACAGGCAGCATACTATATATTATGTATGGTGCATGGATGGAGAAATACATATATATATATATACACTGTACAGTATCCTGTGTCCTGACCATACAAATACAAGACATGTGTATATGAAATATGTTCATACAGCTTACAACAACATCGCAGTACCATCGTATGAACAAAAACCCACACATATGGGACCTTCAGCAACAAAGATGGAGGAATTTCCTGGTGGAATGGGATAGTCCAGCTGTGTTTTTGCAGAGGGTGCCGACTGTATCCATCAGCTGTTGATGCTATAGATATCAGGCGAAATGGACAACTTATGGGAATTATTAATACCCCCAAAATAGGGGGACAAAGCCGCTGAATTATTTGAAAAGAGGGACAGTTGGGGTGAGGTTTGCGCATGAAAACTGATGGAATATCATGGGTTGTCGTGGAAACCGATGGAACTTGTTTTGTTGGCCAGCTTGATTTGTGGTCCCCTAACCTAAAGACGAGTCGGCATGTGACACTCACCAATAATCCCAGGGATGCCAGAGGCATTGCTTCTAGCTCCTTATCCCTTCAATTGTTGTTATATGGTCATATATGAAGGTTTGCATAAATGGGGGCACCCCCATTTATGGATGGTTTATAATGGAATAGTTTTATAAAACATGGATGATTTGGGAGTAGCACCATTTCAGAAAACCAGGACCGAAGGATCTAAAGGCGATCTGGTGGACTATCATTGACCACTGCAGTCAGTCAGCCTCCAACAAAAATATGACGGATAAACACATGGAAAATATGAGAAAGCTAGGGGGAAAAACATGTTTGTGAGATAAACTATGATAAATATAATGTGTTCCATCATTTCACCATGGTTTTTTAACAGGTTCTTTTAGGGTGAATCTCACCTCCGTTTCTGCTTATCCCGATGAGAAAGCCATCCAACCAGCTGCATCCCACTAAAAGAAACCAACTTAGATAACCATGGGGCAGCACCCAAAGCAGATTGTTGATTATTCATTTATTTACTTGTTTACTTATATACTTATTTATTTATCTAGTGACTTGCTTGCTTACTCTTATATATATATATCCCATGAGTTCCCCCTTCGTTCCCATTATCCAATAGAATCCTGAGTTTGGATGGCAATTCATCCCATTCCTAGTGGCTAGGCTTATATTTTTTCACCATTATATCCCAAGGAAACTCCCAATAAAAAAACAAAACAATAATTCACATCAAAATTCCCATTAAATCACAATTGTTGGATGCTAAATACCTGGTAAATCCCTATCCCAACTGCTATGAAGCCAAGTGAACACCTCCAGGCCGCCTCCACGGCTGAAAGGTAAATGCCGATGGGAGTAGCAAGAGCTTGGGGCGCTGCCACAGGAGCCTCATCTCTATCTTTTCATAAGAAACCCCCATGGAAAAACATCATGGAACAGCGGACTCCTGACCGCAGTGGAAAACCAGGTCACCGAAATAAGCATCCTAAATCTGTATGTAAATGGATCTTAATGGGGTTTACGGTTTACGGTTTATTTTCCATTGCCCATCACCAAGGTTTCTTCGTGCTGTGAAGTGTCATTTGGGACGTTGAAAATGTGGGATTTCCGAGGCCAAAGCAACGGCAGCAACGGAGTCAAGTGCAAACGGAAGTGCTCTACAAATGGACTTACAAGCGATTCACTGTACAGTACCTAGACGTCCAGAACATGAGATACATCCACTGTGTTGGCATGTTCACTTTCTAAATGTTGAGGTACAAACAATGTCGACCCAGAGCGATTTTGGCTCAAGCTTTGTGACCTAAGAAATGCACAACATAACAACAATTTACAACAATTGGGACCCTATTGGCATATATGTGTATCCGATTTCTTGTCAACGTTTCACACCAAGCAGCCGTAATGGACATCAAACTGCTGACGTTGCTGCCGCATGCCTGCAGAATCGTGCGGCGCTAAAACCACCGGTGCCCAAACAAAAGTGTAGCTTCCAACAGGATGGCGAAGACCAGCCCTAGATCAGTAGGGTTTTAGATCAGTGTTGGTAACCAAAAAATATATTTGAAAAATGAGGATGCTACCATGTTAACCATGTTAAACCCCATTGAATAACCATGGTTAATGTTGGTTAAACCCCAAAATGTTGATTCAATGGGGTTTACCCGTTTAACCATGTTCAACCAATGAGAATTGAGGATTCACCGGGGGAAAATGAACAACTTTTGCCTCGTCATATTACATACCATTGCTTACCTATGTATATGATATAAACATATATACTTTGCGTATATATATATATATATGTATATATACATATAATATATATATATACATAATATATATATATATATATTCATATTATATAAATATATATATATATATTCATATAATATATATAATATATATATATATATATATATTCATATTATATATATAGTCATATTATATATATATATATTCATACTTTATATATATTCATATTATATATATATTCATACTATATATATATATATTCATATTATATATATATTCATATTATATACATATATATATTCATATTATATACATATATATATTCATATTATATACATATATATATATATATTCAAGTTATATATATACATATATTCATATTATATATATATATGTTCATTAGATATATATTCATATTATATATATATATTCATATTATATATATTCATATTATATATATATATATTCATATTATATATATATATATTCATATTATATATATATGTTCATATTATATATATATTCATATTATATATATATATATATATTCATATTATATTATATATATATTCATATTATATATATACACGTAAATATATATATGAACCAAGTACAAACCAAATACCTACAGTATCTGCAATCAGAGCTGGCTGGTAGTTTCAAAGTCCTGAAACAAATAAAGCTCATCCGCTATCCACATCCCATGTCTCGGGGATGGAATTTCGATGGTCATGACTGTCATGCTTCAAATTGACAAATTCCAATCATCATGCATCATCATACATCACGTCCATGTTGAAACTGCCCAACAAACTACTGCCATCTACTGCCCCTTCCTATCCCTTGGCACCTGATTCCGAAGTTCCCAGAAGAAGGCCTGTCCCTCATCTGACTCGATGGGCCTCGACGAAAAGATACGACGAAAATGGTTGAGTGTGTTAGATGCGGTAATACCCTCCGGTAATCAAACATGGCGAAAAATCCTGGACATCAACGGCTCTGATATCAATGGCAAAATAATCTATACATATCATATGTTACTTGAATCATATCTATATCATGTTTGGTTCCCGGAGGTAGATGTTCTTTAAATGTTATTAATGATTAAGGGTGTGTCCAATGGTTTGTAGAAGTCATAATAACAATTATCCATTGCTTATATGGACTACACCAGATTGAGTTTTGGGATACTTTTGATTTAATCCATGGACAAATTATGAACATTTAGAAGGTTTCTATGATTTTCCCCCAAACATTGTGATGTTCCAACTGGATCCGGAACAGAACTCCGCACCGGCCTCTCCACGTCGATCAAGAACTTGCGACCGGCCACCAAGAAGGGCCCGTTGAGGCCGGTGGTGGTTTGCTTCCAATGTCTCGGTGATGGGAACATAGCGGAAACATATGGGGTATAGATGAGGTATATAACCAGCAAATACAGGGGATGTCATGAATATTCATGAATATGTCATGGGGATATAACTAACAATATGGGGATTCAACCAACCACTATGGCGTAAGGGGGACATAACCAACAATATGACATAGGAATGCAATAGAATGGTGGTATACCATGGTATACCCATAAAGTTGCAATTTAAGGACAACCATGATGCCTAAACGAGTGATCGAGTGATGGCGCAGCCTATTCTCAGACATCCCAGACGTAAGGGATCATAAAGGGAGGGGTCGCTATAGATGGTGATGGCATCAGTTTTGGGGGGTCAATGGTTTTGATTCCATGAAGTTTATTGATAACCCATGGGATGATCTGGATTCAAATTGAAAATGATATATATATATATACATAATTATATATATCTATTATTATATATAGATAAATCATACCCTAGAAATCTCGCATGAAAGTTGATTGCAGATCATGGTTCAATGGGTTTCACGATTTCGCAGAGTTTCCACTTTCCACCAAGCAGTAGTTTTTGTTTGTCCTTTTGTATGACGAGAAGGATGGTCAGTCAGTCATTGGGGACCATGTGATGAAACTTTCCGGGAATGGAACTAAGAAACATGCTTGAAAACACTTATATCAGTATCATTATGTATTCCCATGTGATGGTAGTTCAATCCTCAGTTGATGTTGGCGAAATCCCACGACTGATGCTTAATTCACATTACTTCCTCATGTTTTCAGTTCAAATCCTGGTTGAGTTCTTGCATGATAAATTCTATGGTTCAGTCATCATCACAAAGAACACGGTCAACATTTTCATGAAAACATATATTCCAAGTTTAATTACCCCAGGCGATCAACATAGAACTGGTTGGTGCTTCCAAGCAGTGCCAAAAGTCAAAAGTTATTTGCATCGAAACCAACTACAAACATTTTGTCTTACCGCAACTAGATTGATTCAAGTCATCACTCTGAATACATCTACCTGGTACTAACCTGGATTCCATCCCATAGTCCCCGCAACAAGTGCATCATTTACCTGTTCAAGTGCTTCATTTGCAAAACAAACGTGACATAAATCAAAATGGCTATCAGAAATATCAAACGTCAATTCAATGCTGATATCAGGATATCATATCCTGTAATACAGCAACATTTGAATTTGGCTATTGACTTTGAATTTACATGTTTATATCCTGTGATATGTTTCAATAATGATCATCTGATCAGTTGATGTGAGTGACCACATCAGGAGGCTGACCGGGCCACAGAATTCGCATCCAAACTCGTCCCAGGAAGCCACGTCTACGTCTATCCCATTTATCATAGTGATTGGCGATTACCATAACTTCCAAATGCAGTTCAACTATTCTACACATTTACACACACGTATACTTATTATATACTTATATATGCATACCTCCACAACTGGCTATATCATACATCAACGATTCCGCGATAACCACAACTTCCGTCACGGTGAAGCCGCCGGTGGCCCAGATTTTTCCAAGGCCCCCAGCTGAATGGCCGCGGAGGCATTAAACACCACCTGTTGGGGTGGTGTTTTCGTCTTGGCCTGGGCCAGCCACCCAAAACAAGTAGCGTTTCTTAAGTCCCGGGGACCTGGATGTTGTAACTCCAAAGCTGCGAACTGTGGTAAAAATCATTGGGTTTTGGGGTCCCCCATTTTGAATTATACATATGTACTATGATGATCTATGATGTGGGAAATAAATGGAACTAAGTTATGGGTACTGGATATGATGTTCTACCGATTCTACCCCATTTGATTCAGTTCATTTTATGATCAAAGTCGAATTCCAGACTGGCCAAAACACGGGGGAGTAGACCCACAAGAGTGGTCATCGTTACCCCTATCCCAAAGTCTGGGGTCAATGATTTGAAGCCATACCCTATGCTGCCACACCAAAACACACAACAGCATCCGGAATCTGTGGTGAGCCTTGAATTTTCACCCCAAATCCTGGTGCTCCACGCCTGCTCGGCGGCGTGAGCCTTCAAGGGTCGGGGTTGCCCCCCGCATATCATGGGTCGGCTGGTTGCCAATCTCCTTGATGACAGAAGAAACAGTGGATAAAGGGACAACCTCAAAACAGAGATCGACACTTGTGTGTTTGGGGGCCTTAGATTCTCTTGGATTTTTGATCTATACTAATCCCATCCCATGTCATCTTTTAATCAGAAACACCGGTGATTTTGGGCCTTGGAGGCCTTGTCCGTTGCTGTCAGCATCACCTGGGAAAAGGTTATCATCTGCTTCTGTATGGTAGGTATGTGGGTCAAAACCCTGGTGCCGGGTGGTGCCCCATAGCTAGCTAAGTTGGTTTACAAGTCCAATAATTATGGTTTATAGGTAATAGATCTATAATTCTATAGTTTTTTCTGGGATTATAACCCATTTATAGCTGGGGGGGCACCACCTTGTACCATGGTGAAAATCATGGTACAGCTGGTAAATGGGATGTTCACATCCCCCATGAAAATGGTGAAAAAGGTGTTGCAAGGGATCTCTAGAGCAAGAAACCAATGGGTGTCTGGGGCTGGGGCACAATCATGTGGGAAAGAACTTTTACATACTTTTACCATGTTTGAACATAGTAAGGTTTCCCAGGAGAAACTGAACAGAACCCTCAAGGTGGTTTGGGAAGTCGGAGTACAAAGCTTCGTTGCGAAAGGAGGGGGCCCGACCGGAATCAACATGTGTATAGCTGCGCAGCAGCTGTGTCAATTTTTGGATCTTTTGGTTAGGTTTGAAAATCATCAAGATGTGGGTTTGTCAAAAAAATACGGTAATGACACCAAATTGTGTTTTCATCAACACGTGTTGAATTAACATGGCAAATTTAGGGTATACCGGTATACCGGTATACCTCGTTTCTAGAGAAACCTACATCCATGGAGCTCGCTGTTTTATCAATTTGAGTTGGCTCCAACCCACAGCTGCACATCCAGAATATTGGGACAATCTTGCATTAGTATGGCAATCAAGCGGAACAAGAATGGAAACTGCATGGAATGGTGACTTGACAACGCGCACACTGGAAGAGATTCTGGTGTTGCTATTTGGTAAGAGATGCACACGGGGTCTATGTGGGTTCCATCAAAACAAGTGGTTTACAAATCATATGTGGGTTTCATCAACGGAGATTGACCAGTATCGGCGTTGTGGATAACTGGAATAGTTAAACCAGAGCTTGCTGTGGCTGCCTGCTTTTGCTGCTCTTGTTGCTGGGAATCAACAATTCCAATCCACATTCATTATCAACATCACGTACTCTGCTTCAGCATTTCGCACTCCCATTCCAAACAAATCATTCGGTGAGGGACTTCATGGTAGAGTCTGTACAATTAGTAACAGTATCTTATTATGTACCAAACAAAAAAAATTGTTCCAACCACAAGATATTGCCATATGATCAGTCTCTGAATTCGAGGTTCACGAAAAAGTACATCAAGAAATTTGGAAAGGTCCCATCGCTGCGTTGCTTCCCTCATGTTTGTAGTGGCTGGAGTCGCCTTGGCTGTGCAGGTCCTTCCAAAGACGCTGTAGGTGCCTGGCGTTGAGGCACTGAGTGGAGTCATATCAAACTATGTACATCAGATCGCTTCACTCAAAAAATACGAAAGTGATTTTAAGATAGCATAGTTAGACCATTCCCCTTTAATCCGCTTTACACCCTTTTGAAAAACACCTTACAGCATAGATATATAATCATAGAATATCATGGATATACCACCTTTTTCAAAAGCAGTCTTTAGTGGGAAACGTGTGTCCTCCATTGACGGTTGAACGATAAAGTCCGTCCGCCCACCATTCCGAAAGACTCGTCCAAAACATGTCAGAAAATACTTGTGGATCTTGGCACGGTCAAAACGCAGAACGCAAAACGTGTGTTCCGGAACGCGCGTTCCGAACGCCCGGGGGGTTTTAGTGGCTTTTGGCTCCAGAAGCCTCCCAATCCTTTTTTTGCTCCTTGCAAAAAGCATCCGCTGTGTCACATAGAGTTTTTCAACAATTTTTCAAAGTCTTCTTGGACCTCTGTTAATAGCACTACGATCAAATTTGTGAGAGGTCAGAACCTTTTTCTTTCAGCGAAGAAAGGATCCGGGAAGGAAACCTAACTTGCCCCACAAACCTGGTGAGGCCAGAACCTTTTTTGCTTCAGCCCAAAAAGGATCTGGAGTTGGGAAGATCAACTTTCTGGTGGCTTAATCCACCATTTCTCTCGAAATCGTTTTTTATTTGGGGGGGAAAAAGGTTTCAGTGTCCAGGCCCAGGAAATACATTAACTTTGGATTATTGGAAAAAGGATCCCCTCAGAATGCGCGTTGAACGCCAAACCGTACCGAAGGAACATGCTAAGTTGTGGATAAGGCTGGCTCCTCGATGTGTGCTAAATCCGTGATTGACGATTACTGGATTCTAAAAACATTCTTGGACTCCTCCTTGCCTTTTCTTCTCAGGATATTCTCCAATTATCTAACCTCTGGTAATCAAACATGGCAATGGAACATCCACCACAGATCTGTTTCCCATTAAAAACACCTCCAATTATGGTGGATTTACCATTGTCAACTTTGATTACTGGAGGGTAATTCATAGATGTACGCGATTCGGGACCTCCAGGTTCAGTAAGCAATTATTATTCCAAAGGCTGCTCGCTTTCGAACCATTTCCCAGTTTTGACTCAGCTGACCGCTTGCACTTGCGAGCCACGCACATTGGACCTCCTCTTTTAAGTCCCAACGTTTGGGCAAACTCAAACGGTCTTCCAAGGCTTGAAAAATAATTCCCTGTTCATTCTTCTTTCTCAAGAGGAGATGCTAGGTTTGGGTGCTCTATGTTCTTGCGACTTGTTTCGGACACAGGCCTGAAAAACAAAATATTGGACAGAAGAGCGGGAAAGGCATGGCGAGAGAAAGGTAAACAAAATTGGCGAGGGAAGACGAAAATGGTCAGGAAAGGGACACAGAAAAAAAAACAGGAAGGAGAACAGACAAAGGAAAATGAAGAAAATGAGTCCATGATTCAGGTTGACATATTCATCGAAAGCGTTCAAAAGCCAACATCGTCATGAAATCAATGTCGATTTGCACCCACAGAAGTCACAAGACCCTCTCCTCACCGAGCTGTTGACACTGGGGTTCTGAACGACCCGCTGTCAAACATTGTCAAACCCAACCATTTTTACCTACTGTACTTAATCGCACCCTTTCATCAATCAGAAGTGGTTGATACTCATTGAAGTCAACCTCGGTTGGAGATGACCAGTGAAGAATTTATCAAAAACTGAGATCCTACTAGTTGTAGCTACACAAGAGCCATAATCCAATACTTGGACTGAACTGGGGTCCATGACCATCTAATGATACAGGGGGCCCCATCTATCACTTGATGATAATGATGTCAATGATGGCAATGAGCCCTGTGGATCCATATTAATAAGCCACATCAAATTTTTGGCTTATGAAATTGCATTATACACCCTTACTTATAGAGAGTTCTTGCATTTATGCCATTAAATTCTGGCATGGTTTTATTTTGGGGGTATTGCTATATATATGATATGTATGTGTATATATATATGTGTGTGCTATAGATATTTCAAAAACCTGATATGTTAATAGTAACTATTGATTGTTACTGATCATGAATGTGTATGTCTCCTCCAGTAACCTAACAAATCTATGGAAAATCAACAGTGTTAATGGCAAATTCTTTTCCATAGCTGACACTTAGTTAGTTGTCCAGAGGGTCATGATATTATTAAAATTATATAATGGCTATTTCTGGCAACCCCCAAACAAATATCCTAACATAGGAAGAAAAAAAACTGTAATTGTACTTTTCTATCACATTTAACCCCCGTTTTTGTTGGTTACCCTCTGGTAATTTAACATAGCTATGGAAAATCACCATTTTTAATGGGAAAATCCACTATTTCTATGGCCATTTTCAATAGCTATAACTTGACATAACCAGAGGGTAAATCCCAATTGTTCACCATTTGTGCTGCTGGATTCTACCATTTCTACCTGGATCTCGCCTTTGGGACATTTCGTGCACTGCGTCGCCCCTGGAGCTGCAGCGAAGAAGCCTGGCGAGGCAAGATTTACCCAGTAAACCATGAAGATTTACCATGAAAAGACCGGGATTTCATGAGGGAAATGAGGATTTGCCCAGAGAAAATGGTGAGATAATGAGGAAACCATGGTTTTTTGTTGAACCAACAAGACTGAATTGGGTGTGACACCCCCAATATGGCATGTTTGAACGAGGAAAATGATGATGAATCGTTGATGGAATGAGTGTTTCCATAGTTTTCAGACAAACCTAGAAAAACAATAGCCATGGGCCACTGCAGCATTTACCGTTATAAAGCCAAGTGATTTTTTTTCAACCCAAGTTTAATTCATAAAGCAGAATATCATCCAAGAATCCACGAACAAGTCTAGTTTTCGC